TCTATTTTTCTCTTATCAATATGCGCTATCACGTGCAAACCATTTCGTGAAACAACCACCTTGCACTCGTTACTGTCAACGTGCATCCAGTTTAAACTGATGCTGCCATTATTGTCACCGAGTACACTTTTTAAAAACTTTAGTCCGCTTTAATCTACAGTGTAGAATTCTTTTAAAAGCTTTTACTAAAAAAAAATTACAGAGCACAATTTATAACTCAGAACACACCTTTTTGCCGAGGTTATATTCTTTTAAAATATAGAAACCAAATATTATTCTTTAACTAAAGCATATAAACATTGCACGAAATGTTAAATCTTTTTTTTTTTCTTTACATTCAAACTGAATTAAATATACGTTTATTAATTATTAATAAAACTAGCAAAACTTCATGAAATTTTCGTTCCCATTGTTACTTTAAAAAATTTCCGTTTTTAAATTCAAAGATGAAAAAATAAAATTATTTTTAAAAATTATGAAAAATAAATTCTTTTTTTAAAATTATTTTTATTAATAATCTTTCATGTTCTTTGATATTAACGTCATTTGAATGAACAGACCTCTTGACTGTTATTGTCGTTTTGTGGTCGTTTTTATTTTAATAAAATTATTTTTAAAAATTATGAAAAAATAAAATTTTATAAATTTATTTTAAAAAATATTGTTAATTTTACAAAATTTTTAATTGTTTCAATGTTTTTTCAAATTATTTTCAGGAATTCAACAAAAAATTTTAATTTATTTTTTAAAAAACTAATTTCTTTCAAAATTTTGAAATTATATTTATCAAATTTCAATCATTTTTGTAAAAAAAATATTTAAATAGAAGCTTTATTGTTCTTTACTTGCTTAACAATTGAAATACTTTCAATGTTTTTACATTGAAACAATTTTTCATGAAAATTTAATATTTAAACTGGAAATTTTGCAAAATTCAATTATTTTTTAAAGAATTTTTAAATAATATTTAAAACTTTCAAAAAAAAAAAATTTTTAATAAAGAAACTGTAAACTTCAAATCTTCCAAAATTCAACTATCTTTTTAGAATTTTTCAATAATTTTCAAAACTTTTCATTTTTACGGAAGCTAACAAACAAGAGATTGGAATTTAAAAACTTTTTTGAAATTTAATTATTTCTAAAGAATTCTACTTTAACACTTGTAATTATTTTCTAAAGTTTTAACTAAAATTCTTTTTTAAATCAATTCTTAGCAGAATTCAATTATTTAAATATACAAAAATAAATAATTCATAGAATAATTAATTATTTTAAAAAATTGCAACTTTACCTATTTATTGAGTTTTTGAAATTGGAGTTGAATTTTCCAACTGCACTTATTTTATTATCTACATTTTATATTTATTTATTTAACTGTCAAACTTTTTGCCAAAACAAAAAATAATAAAACAACACTAACTTCACGTGAGGGGAGATTATGTAGATTGTTGAAAAAAATTTTAATTTATATATTACTTTACAAAATTTTCTCTCGTTAATTAAAAAGTTTTTGTTTTAAACAATTTTTTTATTATGAGATAACAATCCGCTATAGAAATATATGTAAAAAAATATGAATTTTTTATAAATTATAATTAGAAATAAATATACGTATAATATGAGGGCTCTTTTAGTAATGCACAACAAAATATTTTAAGTACAATACAAATTTGAATTTTCCAATTAAAAAAATTTTTTTCAAAAAACTGATAATCAAGTGATGTAAAACTTACAAACGGATACTGTTAATTTAATTGTAATAATAATTCTTAGACATTGGCCTAAAAATAATATTATTACGAACTTAAAAGCAATAAGTTGTAAAGAAAATTTTATTTATACAATTTATATAAACAAAACCGCTTTTATTAGTGACTGGAAAAAGCAAATATTTTCTTTTTTTTTCTGTTAGAAAAGTCACAAGTTATCTTGATTGTGTCAGTTTTAACCCGGAAGGTTTGTTTTGATTCTAATTCCAATGGGAAATTAAGCAACCAACGCGATTTGTCAAAGGGTATAAAATTGACAGACAAACGACACTTTTGGGATTGAGACATTAATAAAAAGTAAATTAAAAAATTATGCAAAAGAGTAACGAACATTGCGAAAAAAAACAATGAAGAAAGAAGAAGAAAGAAGAAGTTCTTGTTGACACATAATGGTCAAAACTATGTAGATCACGTGACACTTGGAGGAAAGGTGTGTAGCATGTCGCGCGTGGTCTCGTTTTTCCCCCTATGATGTCTGTCTGCCATAAATTTCTCAGAGCAAAACAAAAAAAAAACTATGACCTCTAGCGTCTTTTTTTTTTTTTTTTTTTTTTTTTTTTAAAGGTTACAAGAGAGTCTCTAGAAACAGGAGAGAGAGACGAATAAAGGAATACTCAATGGGAAATATTCAATTCACTTTGAAATTGAATATTGAAATGCACCACTGTACGAATATATGTACGATAACAATATTATGTGAAATATCCCAATGATTGCCTTATATTTTCCAATGAAATCATAATTTTACGGTTTTATATTAGATTATTCGGTACGTACCGAATACACCGCCAGTGGAATCATATTTCTTTTATTATGCCATTTTCGTGCATTCATTTTCATTAAACGAAAAAAATATTCCGTAAAAATTTTTTTTTTTAATTTTCATTTCAATTTTATTATTATTAATTAACTAACATTCGTGAATTAATTAAAATTAATAAATTAATAGTAATTAAACATAACATTAATAAATTAATTAACATTGTGTAATACATTAACGTTTATTAAAAAAAAAAAAAAAAAAAAAAAAAAAAAAAAAAAAAAAAAAACTTTACTTAACAATAAATTAAACAATAAATTAAAGATAATTAAACACAACTTTTATTATTTTAGGGACCTGTTGCAATTTGTTATTATTTTGTTATTACAATTTTGATTAATAATTATTTGTTATTGTCTGTTACAGTTTTTATTATTACATGATCGAATTGTTGGAATAAATAATATGTTAATAATTATTATTTGTTGTTAATTTTATTATTATTATTACCATTATTATTAAATGTTATTTTACATATTATTATTGATATTATTATTATTTTTAATTGTTAATTTACATATTATTATTATTGATATTGTTATTGTTTTTAATTGTTAATTCACTTATTATTACTATTGATATTGTTGTTATTTTAAATTGTTATTGTTACCATTCTTATTATTATTATTTTTACTAATTATTGGTTATTTGAAAATATATAACATTACAAAAATTTGTTATTAATGATTTATTATAAGATCAAATTGTTAGAATTAACAATATATTAATAACAATTATTTATTGTTTTTATTATTACTATCATTATTATTAATTATTATTTAATATATATTTCTATTAATTTTAATTGTTATTTCCATTATTATTATTTTATTGGTTATACATATTGTTTATTGAAAATATGTTACGATGACGTAACAGACAAAATGATATTATTATTATTATTATTATTATTATAAAAACGGTTGAATGTTTAATTAATATTTCAATGTTTCAAAAATTATAAAATTATTAATTTTTGGTGAATTTTAATCGAAATAATTATAAACAAAGTGAAAAATTTTAAATCTATAGGAGAGAAAATTATGATCTACCATCGAGAATAATGATTTGAAGAAACTTTTATAAAGCGAAGAGAGCTTTGCTCGGAATGACTAAAATTAACTCGCCCTAAATGTGCCAAATTAGATCTCGTTTACAGAAAACCGTGAATTTAGGAACAACATTTAACGGACAATTATAAATTACAAGCTGAAAAGTAAAACCAGTTTTCGTGGATTTTTTTTTTTTATGCCAACATTTTGAAAGGTTTAAAGGTAGAAAAACTGTACCTTAGCTGAAGAAAAGAAATTTTCCTCGTTAAATTGTAAAGAAAAAAAATTCCTATAATCTTTACAGAAGTGAAATTTAAATTGTTGTCATAAACAATTTTTACATTACATTTACACTGAATTTACACATTTGCACCACATTTACACTAACACTCTATTTACACCTAAATTTCCTCCGTTCCTTCTTTTATTAGATAAAGTTTTTAAATCGAAAATATTCCGATATTTTGTTTAAATAATTTCTAAATTTTCAAATTTACTTTCTAATTTATAAATTTTTTTATTTTTTTTATGTTTCGGTTGTTTTATTTTAATTTTTTTGTATGTTTCGGTTGTTCGGTTGTTTTATTTCAATTTTTTTATGTTTCGGTTGTTTTATTTTAATTTTTTATGTTTCGGTTGTTCTATTTTATTTTTTTTATGTTTCGGTTGTTTTATTTTAATTTTTTTGTATGTTTCGGTTGTTCGGTTGTTTTATTTTAATTTATTTGTATGTTTCGGTTGTTCGGTTGTTTTATTTCAATTTTTTTATGTTTCGGTTGTTCTATTTTATTTTTTTTATGTTTCGGTTGTTTTATTTTAATTTTTTTGTATGTTTCGGTTGTTCGGTTGTTTTACTTTAATGTTTTTGTATGTTTCGGTTGTTCAGTTGTTTTATTTCAATTTTTTTTTAATGTTTCGGTTGTTCTATTTTATTTTTTTATGTTTCGGTTGTGTTATTTTAATTTGTTTGTATGTTTCGGTTCTTTTATTTTAATGTTTTGGCATGTTTCGGTTGTTCGGTTGTTTTACTTCAATTTTTTCAAATATTCGTACTTCGTTTCAGAATAATTTTCTTTTATAGAGAAAAATATTTTTAAAAAAAGACAAATTTTAAAAATATTTTTCTTTATTATTTTTGATAATTAGATCAAAACAAGAGGGTCCGGCAAAATTTATCTTATCACGACTCATCTTCCGGCACGCACAACACACGATGAAGCTTTTTGGCAGCAAGCCTAAAATTCTTCCGGATATTTTTATCACATTCACGTATCGCCCTAAATCGTTATAAGTGTAAAAATATAAAAATAAATTTTATTGGTTTCTAATTTAAAAAATGTTTTCAAACTTAAAACTTACGATAATTATCTAACAATTTGGAAGAATTTAGATTCACAGTAGAATAGATAGTTTGTCTATAATTAGTGAATTAACGAGATAACTTTTTTTTTGTTTATAAATATAGTAAAATCTGTTACTATATTATCTGATGGGGTAAAATTATTTTCTAACAATTTGAGAACTTGTTTTTAATTTTAAAAATTTTAAACACATTTTTTTTTTGCAGAAAAAATTTTTTGCACACACGTGCTCACTAATATGACGACGACGACGAAAAGACATCCGACGGTTATCCATTGGGGAGGATCAACGTCGGATGATGCGTCGCACGCGAAGTCCGACCCCCGACTGAGCTTTCGGAGTTGGTTCTTCGTTCGTGAACGTTGTGATACCGACACAGTGCATGTTCAGTTCAGTCCGTCCACCCAGCGAGGCATTAACTACTGATCGCGCAACTTGATGGTTTATAGCTGAGATTAAAGGTGTGCAGCAGGGGAACATGAGAAAATTTTAATTACTTCTATACTATGAGTCTCTTTTTTTAAAATTAATATCGAACATGTCGAAATTTTTCTCAATTTACATTTTTTAAATCTCCTTGAAAAATTCTTTTGCGAAAAAACTTTGCATAATGTTCAATTCTTATGAAAATTTTTTTTTTTCAGAGAAGTGCTCTTATGAATATACGCCACCCTGCACGCCTTAAAAATTAAAAATGGTATTTCAAAAATTCATTATGACGAAACTATTAAATTATTTTCGAAGTCTACTATTTTAACAAAAGTATTCAAAAAATTCAATTGTTTAAAAAAAATGGAATAAAATTCGTTGCAAGAATTCAATTATTTTCATAAATAATTAAATTCATTACAGGATTTCAATTATTTAAAAAAAAATTTAATGAAATTCGTTGCAAGAATTCAATTATTTTCAATAATAAAATTCTTCATATGATTTTAATTATTTTTAATATAATTTTGAGTAAATTCTTCAAAAAATTTTGTTATTTTCAAAAATTTTATTAGAATTCTTCGAAAGAATTTAATTATCAATTATTTTTAGAAATTCATGCTATAAATGCTTTTAATATTCAATTATTATCTAAAGTTTAAACTGAAATTCATTTTTAAATAAATTTTTATTAGAAAATTCTACGAGAATTCAATTATTTTAATACAAAAATAAATAATTTATTGTACCTATAATTAAATGTTTCTTAAAATTCAATTCTGATAAAGAATTTTATCAACAAAAATTGTAAATAATTGAATTCTCCTTACAATTTTGAATAAAATTTTTAAGAATAATTACATTTCTCAAGGAAATTGATTAAAATTTTATTTAAAATAATTGAAACTCTGCAATGAGTTTTATTATAATTATGAAAATAATTGAGTTCTTAAAGAGAATTTTATAATGTACAAAAATAATTGAATCCCTGTAAAAATTTTATTATTTATGAAAATAATTAAATGTTTGCGTAGAATTTCATTTAAATTTTTTTAAATAATTGAATTTTTTTGGAAAACTTTATTAAAATAGTAGATATTGAAAATCATTGAATTGAGGAAAATTTTTGAAAATAATTGAATTTCAGAAAAGAATTGTATTATTTCTAAAGAGAATTTAAATTTTGACTAGAATTTTTAAAAATGTTTAAACATAATTAAATTTCGCGTGACAGTTTTTAGAAAAATATTTTTTTTAAGCAAAAATGTCAGCACATTCCAGTGCCCACAGGACAAGGAATTTTTTTTTAATTGAAGTGAAATCTTAAAAAATAATTTCACTTCAATTACAAAAAAAAATTTCGTCCCTTTTGCTTATTTCAATGAATATTATTTCTTACTCACTCTTATTAAATTAAAAAAAAAAAAAATATACAAAATATTTATTTATGTAAGTGAAACAAGTGTGGCAGTATGAAAACTTATGACAAGTAGAATAATAAGTTTCTATTCATTCTCATCTCAAACAATTACATATTCACCATGTTTTGTACACAAAACACGCTTACCAGAGCTCCATTTCAAGTACACTTTGATCTTGTTCCACTTACTTTGTACTGAGCGAGTTTTCAACTCTAGTGCAGAATTATGCACCTCAGCGGATATTCGTATCTGCAAATCGTAAAGCGTACATACCTTATTCGTGGTTTTAATTCTATACTTGAAAGTAAATTAGGATCTTCTCTCATCTCTCTGGCCTATCCTCTAAGCATTACAGTAGTTTTTGTTTTATATAAGAGTAGACGAAAATTAAAAATAAAGTTAGTTTCATTATATCCTTGAAAAGTCATTTTTACCGTAAAAACAAGTTAATGAGTAGGGATGGAATTATACGATTTTTTTTGGTGGAAAGAAAAATTGGAGACTAATTATTTTCGAGAATTTTCTTAGCTACGTTTTTCGAAAGCTTTGATACTAGAACTTACTGCAGGTTTTTTGATTAAAAGGAATTAAAATTATTTTATCGAAAGCAAAATGTGACTTTGAATGTCTTTTTTCGAATTATAATAATTATAATAATACAATTATCCGAATGTTTATTCACTCATCGAGCACAATACGTATGCATTATGCGCAGGGAATTTATACTACTTGTGGCGGTCTGTCCGACATTCACCTGAACCGCTTATACTACTTACTGGACTTTGCCTCATCGTTTTTAGAAATGTAATAATTATTCTACGTAAACATGACGTGAAAATTAAATTATGTTTTATGTTTAACTTAGGGATTTATGTTATTAAACTTCATTTGCAGGAATTAACGAGTAATTTCCACTGAATCAATTAGCAGCGTGTACGCTAATTTTTTTTCCAACATTTTCAAAAGTTCATCTTTTATTTATTCGGAAAACCTCTGAAAATATTGATTTTTAATTATTCATCATTAATTATTAATACCCTTTGGGATCGTCCGTAAATTCCACGTGGACAATTTTTTTTATCACTGTTTGACTCCCCCTCCCCTATCGTGGATATTTGACGACCCCCCTCCATTTTTTTACATTTCGATGGGAATTACGAATAATAGACTTTTATTCTTTTACTGACGAAAATAAAGACTAACTGCATAAATAAAAAATTTAATTTTAACATAACCAGTGAAATAATTTTAAAATAATAACTTTTTCGAATTTTTATTGATGTTTAGATATTTTTTTCTTAAGTTAATTTAAATTGCAAATTTTAATTTTTTTAAGCAAATTGTTCATTTATTTTTTAATTTTATTAACGGATACAAAATTTGAATGTACTTTTCTGTAAAAAAATACTTTTTAACAATTGGGCTAATTTTGTAAGAATTCAAAAAACAATAGACTTGTCAATATATCGAAAAAGTTCATTTTTTTTCGTCTAATAATTACTATTTGTATTACCCAACGATTTATACTTACTTTTTCCTAAATTAAGATCTTAATCAATAAATAACAATAACCGGCTAAATGATAAGTTCTTTCACTTTGCTCTTTAAATCAGGTATGGGAAGTTACAACTCACACGTCATCCCTAGAATCCCTGGAATAATTTTTAGTTCCAGTTAATTTTCAGTGGAGCGCTGCAGTATAAAGGTAACTACCTATCGAATGCAGCGCTCCGTTAGGAAATCTGCCAAACTAAATACACGTAATACGCCTGTCCACCTACATCGAAAATAATCAATGAGTAAAAATAATTTCTAGCAACAAAAAAGAAACCGGTCAAAATATTGAAAATTTATTTATTCTCCAATAGAGAAAGGGTTAAAAATTCACAAAAGCCAAAATGGCGGCTTTTGAAGGTAAGATATTTTTAATGTTATACTTAATTTTTCCCTTTCACTGAAACTATAATTTTATAATTCTTTTTTTACAGGTTAAATACTACTGTCAAAATTCTATACTTGTATGACTTCTATTATTTTGAGGAGAAATTTTTCAAAAGCTGATAAATCCATTTTTCAAAACAAATTGAGATAAACAAAAATAATAAAAACACAAAAATTTTAGAAAAGAAATATTAATAAGGAATTTTAAATTTAAAAACTATTTCGATATAACCAACAATTTTGCAATTTTTACATTTTTTATTAAAAGAAGTTACCGAAATCTTTAAAATACTTAATTACGATAAAGTTTAATTAAAAACGAAATGTAATTTTCAAAAATTTCGACTTTTATGACTTTTTTTCCAAATATTGCAACAAAATACCGAATTTTTTAGTATAAAATGCAACTTATATCGATTTTTAAAGTGCAAAATCTTTCAAAAATATTATTTTTGAATCACTTTTTTTAAGATATAATTAAATGTTTGCAAATATTATCTATAATAAAAATCTTTTTGAATAATTGAAATTTTGTAAAATTTAATAGAAAATAATTAATTTTTTCGCAAGTATTTTGTTACAATTTTGGAAAATCATCTTTTGAAGAATTTTAATTGCAAATTTTGAAAATAATTGAATTCTTAAAAATGTTAATATAAAAAATCTTTAAATGTAAAATTTAAAAATGAAAATTAATAAAAATTAGCTTCTAATTTTTTCTAATTCAATATTTTCAATTACATATTTCTGAAAATTTAAATACACCCAAAATTAAAATTTATCAAAAAATTAATTAGTTTTTTTAAATTATACCAAAATTCTTTTAAGAAATCCAATTATTTTCGAAAAATTACATATTTTAAAAATCTATTTCTTACAATTGTTTTATCAAAAAATTTTTTCGATTCAATTATCTTCGAACAAAGTGAATAAAAATTTGTAAAAATTCCCTTTTTTAGACTTATTAAAAAATTATAAATATTTATAATTAAAACCCTTCAAAAATGTTCTAAATGCTCAAAATTAAATTCTTCGCCTTTCCACCAAAACGAATTTAAAATTTAATTTGTCTTTTTCTTTTAAATTACGAAATTATGACATTGGACTAACTTTTATTTTGACTGTACATCAGATTCTTACTTAAAATAATTGATTTAGAAATAAAGTTTAGTTGAAAATTGTAGGGTTTTAATTATAATTTTTAGAAATTATTAAAATTCATAAATTTGATATTCGTAAATTTTAATATTTTTCTGTAAAAAGAATTTTGTCAGAAAAAATAATTTTCATGTCAGTAAATTGTCAGAGAAATTGATAAACTGAAAATTGTGACCACCCTGAATGTGTCACTCCTCGAAAAGAGGTTCCTAAAAAGCAAAAAAATTTAGGTTATGTTTGTAATTCTTGAAATACAAAATTTGAGTCTTCGCAACATTTGAAATAATTAACTACAAACTGGTATTAGTTTTACATTAAGCAAAGAAAGTTTGTAATTCAGTTAAAATTAACACAAACATAACTATTAAATTTTTTGCTTCTTAGGTACCTTTCTTCAGAGCGCGTGTAAGACACTTTGTTCTAAAGCCCTTTCTTTACTTTTTATTCTTATTCTAATAAAAATATTTTTTCTTTAAGAAATGGGAGTCCTGCCCGAATTAGGAAAAGCTGTCGAAGAAATGGATTGGATGTAAGTATTTCAATTGGTATTATTTATTTCCTTCTTATGAATCCCTTTTTTATGAAGTTTTTTCCTTTTTTCAAAAGTTTGTTAAAATATTTTCTACCATCCTTCCATTTTTTTTTTATTCATTCTATTCCCTTTTGTTATAATGATAACACATTAAATGAAACATATTTTCAAAATCAAGGCTTCCAACTGATGTACAGGCGGAAGCAATTCCCCTAATTTTGGGTGGTGGAGACGTTCTAATGGCTGCCGAAACAGGAAGTGGAAAAACAGGCGCATTCTGCCTGCCAATCATACAAATTGTCTGGGAGACTCTAAAGGATTTGGAATCTGGAAAAGGAACCAAATCATCATCATCAGCTCAGTCTTGTAATTTTTTTGCTTTCTATATATTTTAACACCAAACCCAGAGTTTAATAATCATCAATAACATTTGATTAAATCAAACATTCTTTCATTAAAATTAAGCTCCCAACTGGCTTCTAAGTATGTTCGATCGTGGATCAGCATTAGCGGTAACTCCCGATGGATTACTTTGCCAAAGTCGAGAACCTCGCGACTGGCATGGTTGTCGAGCAAATAAGGGAATTCAAGGAAATGGAAAATTCTTTTTCGAATCTGTCGTCACTGACGAGGGTCTTTGTCGTGTAGGATGGTCCACAGCCCAGGTGTTTAAAAATAAAAAATTACCTAAGAAAAAGAAAAACCCTGATTATCTCAACCAGTCCTTAATTCTAAATTTCAGGCTGCCTTGGACTTGGGAACTGACAAATTTGGTTTCGGTTTCGGTGGCACTGGCAAAAAGTCGAATGCAAGACAATTCGACAGTTATGGCGAATCTTTTGGCATGCACGACGTGATTGGATGTCTTTTAGATTTACAAAAAGGCGAGATTCGATTCATGAAAAATGGTGTCGATTTGGGAACAGCATTTACATTGAATCCACAGCAAAAGCAAATGACATACTTTCCAGCGGTGGTGCTAAAGAATGCTGAAATGTCTTTTAATTTTGGTGCTCAACCATTTAAGCATCCGCCACCAAACGATTTTGTAGCACTATCGTCAGCGCCTAAGGATAATATTAAACCTAATCCCAATAATACTTCTGGCTCTAAGGGAGAAGATTCGAAACCAATGAATAATGCCCCTCAAGCAATCGTCATCGAACCTTCTCGTGAACTTGCCGAACAAACCTACAATCAGATTCAGAAGGTAAAAGAAAATCCAGTTGAAAAAAATATTTCTAAAAGAAATTTCAATGTAATGGAAGTTTGAAAAACTTAAAAGAAAAAAATTTTCTTTCTTTTGCTGTACATATTTTTGGAAGTGCTTTCTTTTCTGAACAGAAAGCACCAATTTTGAACGAAAAATATTAATTTTCTTCAGAGATATTAAGCTTTTTGTAAGTGGGACATACATGTGTCCCAGTGATGTTTAAGTGTCCCAGAGATTATTCAGTGAATCACAACATAGACCAAAAAAAAATTTCTAAAAGAAATTCCAATGTAATGTAAGTTTTTTAAGCTTACATTACATTGCAATTTCTTTTAGAAAATTTTTAGAAACTTTTAGAAATTCTTCAATGTAAGATTTTTAAACTGACTTTACATTGGAATTTCTTTTAGAAAAATTTTTTTTGTCTGTGTTGTGATTCACTGAATAATAAAACTATGGGACACTTTAACGCCACTGGGACACATGCATGTCCCACTTTGAAAAAGCTTAATATCTCTGAAGAAAATTAATATTTTTCATTCAAATTTGGTGCGTTCTGTTCAGTAAAGAAAGAACTTCCAAAAATTTGTACAGCAAAAGAAAGAAAATTTTTTTCCTTTTAGTTTTTCAAACTTACATTAAATTGGAATTTCTTTTACCTTTTGTATCTTCTTCTATCTTCATATTATTGAAAGTTTTTTATGTTAGATCGTAGTTTCTAATTTCAATTTAAATAGTTTAAAGGTCACATTAAAGATCCGGTTGTTAGAGAACTGCTGGTAATTGGTGGTGTTAATGTCAAGGAACAGATTGCAGTTTTGAATGCAGGTGTTGATATTGTTGTCGGCACTCCCGGTAGACTAGAGGATTTAATTCAAGGAGGATATTTATCTCTAACTCACTGCAGGTAATTTTTTGAAATTTTCTAAAAACAAATCAGTTTGTAATCCTTTATTTCAAAAACAGATTTTTCGTCCTCGACGAGGCAGACGGTCTTTTGAAACAAGGTTACAAGGATATGATCGATAGACTACATAAGCAAATTCCCAAAATTACGAGCGACGGTAAACGATTGCAAATGATCGTCTGCTCTGCGACATTACACGATTTCGATGTCAAAAAAATGGCGGTAACTATTTTCTTCGAACTTTAGATTTTATTTTTCATTCCTCTGGACAAAGAACCATGTTCATGTCCGCCTTGTAATGATTCATTGTTGTGATTCATTAAATAATAACGTCCTGGGACACTTTAAGGCAACTGGGACACATTTATGTCCCACTTACAAAAAGCTTAATATCTCTGGAGAAAATTAATATTTTTCATTTAAATTTGATGCGTTCTGTTCAGTAAAGAAAGCACTTCCAAAAATATGTATAGCAGAAAGTATCTAAACTTTGCTATTGTTCTTAAAATGTTTTGGAACATAACAAGGCGGACATCAAACGTTTTTAGAACGTTTATGGAACTTTTTTGCCCAGAGCGATGACTAATTTTTTTATCAGATAAGTTGTGACTTAATTGTAAGTACAATTTTTTTCTAATTTCAGGAACGTTTGATGCATTTTCCAACTTGGGTAGATTTGAAGGGCGAGGACGCAGTTCCCGAGACGGTGCATCATGTGGTTGTTATGGTCGATCCCCAAAAGGATAAGACTTGGGAAAATTTACGACAACACATTCAGACTGACAATGTTCATATTAGAGATAACGTGAGACCTGGAAGTAACACAATTGGTGAGTTTATTACAACATTTAAAAGTCAGTGTCGACTCGAATCCTTAAAAATTCAGAACTTAAAAATTTTCATTTATTGTAACAGAAACCCTATCGGAAGCAGTAAAAATTTTAAAGGGGGAATATTGTGTTCGGGCGATTAGAGAGCACAAGATGGATAGAGCATTAATTTTCTGCAGGACGAAAATTGATTGCGACAATTTAGAACGATATTTCAGATTAGTGGGGAACAGGGATCTCTCTTGCGTTTGTCTGCACGGCGACAGAAAACCAAACGAAAGAAAAGCGAATTTGGAGAAATTTAAGAGACAAGAGGTCAAATATTTAATCTGCACTGATGTCGCCGCAAGAGGATTGGACATCACAGGCTTACCTTTCAGTAAGTTCACAATCTCGAAATGATTCTAATATCAAAAAAGCTTCTTAATATTCTTACCTTTAATATTATCAACATGAATTTTTAAATTTTGTTGGTCTGTGTGAAAACAACGCACCAAATTTAAAAGAAAAATAGTAATTTTCTTTAGAGATATTCATCTTTTTGTAAGTGGGACACATGTATGTCCCACTTGCAAAAAGCTTAATATTTCTCAAGAAAATGACTATTATTCATTCAAATTTGGTGCGACCTTTGCAGTAAAGAAAGGACTTAAAAAATATGTATAGCAGAAAGTATCTAAAATTATTTACATTTCAGTGATTAATGTAACCCTCCCGGATGAAAAATCAAATTACGTTCATCGTATCGGAAGAGTGGGAAGAGCAGAGAGAATGGGCTTAGCGATCTCTCTAGTGAGTTCCGTTCCCGAAAAAGTTTGGTATCACGGAGAATGGTGTTCGACTCGAGGAAGAAATTGCAACAACACCAGTTTAACTGATCAAGGTGGATGTTGTATTTGGTATCAGGAACCTAGAGTACGTATTTTTTGTAACTTAGAAGTATGATCGATTCCAAAAGTAGAAAAATGATTTTAATGCTAAAACGTTTTTTAATATTAAATTTCAGTATTTAGCTGATATTGAGGATCATCTGAACATAACGATTCAACAAGTCGAATCTGACATGAAAGTACCAATGAATGATTTCGATGGTAAAGTTACTTATGGACAGAAAAGATTGAATCTAGGTTCTGATTACAAAAATCACGTACAACAAATGGCACCGACTGTTGCTGAATTAGCGTCTCTAGAGTCGACGGCTCAACTTTCATTTTTAAAATGGCACATGAACTTAGTGTGAATATTGTGGTTTTTATAGAAATGTTGTCCTTTTTTACGAACTTTTAAAGTCATCTCCTATAATTCTTCTATCAAAAGTTAATTACACGAAATACAGAAGTGTAAAATTATTATTTTTTTTATATTACAATAAATATAAATTGGTAAAATTGTCAAAAATCTGTGTTATTCTCCAATTTGGGGACATTTCTTATTAAAACTCATTAAAAAAATCATAAATCATAGGCTGAATTAACTATTATAATAAATTTTTTGAGATTATTAAACAAAATCGTAGTCATGTTATTTCCTTGAAAAATAAAGTACAAAAATAAGACAAAGTAGGACACTTATCAAAGATGAAAAATTTTCAAAGTTTATGTTGAATAAAATGTTTCAGTCACGGATTGTACGCCAGAAATCTAACCAGAATCGGCCCTAACATTTTAGTCAACATAAATTTAGAAATTTTGTTGGTCTGCGTTATTATTCACTGAATAATAAAGCTTTGGGACACTTTAACGCAACTGGGACACTTTTCTGTCCCACTTACAAAAAGCTTAATATCTCTGAAGAAAATGAATATTTTTCATTAAAATTTGGTGCGTTCTCTGCAGTAAAAACAAGACTTCAAAAATATGTATACCAGAAAATATCTAAAATTTTCTATTCTTTAAAAAAAACAATTATAAACAATTGTTAAAATTTACGAAGATTAAAAACATTTTTGATTCGTAAGAAACTCGTTACTCGAGGGTTTTTGGGGTCGCTGATTACGATTTTGAAGTCAGAATTAAAAAATTGAAAATGGCGGATCCAAAATGGTGGACGAAAATATTAAAAAGTTAGCGGATTTGCCTGAAACTCATTACTCGGGGGGTTTTGGGGTTGCTGATTACGAATTTAAAGTCAGATTTTTAAAATTCAAAATGGCGGATCCAATATGGCGGACGAAAATATAAAAATTAACGGATCTGCTTAAAACTTATTTCTCGGGGGGTTTTTTGTGTTGCTGATTACGATTTTGAAGTCAGAATTAAAAAATTCAAAATGGCGGATAACGAGTAACATGTTTGAAGCAAATGCTACTGATTTTTAATTTGTTTTTCCAAAAGTTGACACAAATTTGTTTTCCTGTAAATCGGACGGGTATTAAAATAAATTAGAACCACAAGAAGCATTTTCGATTTATATAAGACATACAATAAGTATTTATTGTATCGTTATAATTTCATAATCGTATCGTTACTATTTTAGTTACACAAACGTATGATACAAGTGGCTTCGCAGCGTTTGCTTTCTTTTTTTTGTAATTCTCGTAATCGTAATAATGTATTTATATGTACGCGCACGCGCGCGCATATGGGTGTATCTGTGTGACGGTGTGTTTTTCCTTACATAATTTTTTTTATATATATATAATATATATATAATATATATTAGATGCTTATAATTTACTAAATGACTTCATTTTTTTTTTAATTACACACATTAATTTATACACATAACTCTTAATATACTCTGAAAAGCAATATTAAACAACTAACTTATAGGGTGTTTTTATAAATCATATAATTTTTTTTACTCAGATAAGGGTTTTTTTTTGTTTTTAATTACCATGTTTTTATCTCGAATATATTCGTATGTATATATTTATATATATATATATACTTTTTTTTTCTTTATGTTTGTGTCATGTGTCTTAAATATTAAGGGTTCCATTTTCTTTGCGCAATTGATACAACGACCATTAAATAAATCTTTTACTCTCTAGATCATTTAATCCTTTAACCGTTAGTTTAGATTCATGTAAACATTTTTTTTATAATATTCAGACAGTCATCACAGAATGAGAATGAAATATATTTTTTTTACCTTCTTTCTTTTTTTTTTAATTCTAGTTTTATAACACAATCAGTCAAAAAACGTACACACACAGAATCGCTCGAAGAATATATCATTCAGACATTAATCGCTCGCAATTGATTCAGTGAATTTATACACGTATAATATATATATAATATATATTTCTATATATATGATATATATATATTTTTTTTATCTTTTTATTTATATTTATATATTCTTTATTTTTTCTTTTTATATATAATTCATTTTTATTCATTTTCTTCATTTTAATATTTATACTAGAATCTGATCCATGATTCACGAACATGGCACCAAAGGAAAAATCTTTCAACTGATTTTATTAATATTTAATCATCACGTTTTACGCGTTCATTAAAATTAATAGATATCAGTGTTCCAGTCTCTCTTTAATCGTACGAAATATTTTCCCATATTTTCGAAACTTTTCTGTCACTAGAAAACTATTTTCTTTCGAAAATATTTTCGAAAATGACGAAAATCTAATTAAATAGAAAAATTCTAGTAAAAATTTGTAACTTGAAATTAGTTTCATCAATTTTTGAATTGATAAAGCTTGACATTTATTGATTGGAAAATAATATTTTTTTTATAAAAGATTTACAATAAAAAAAGATTGTAAAATTAATATAGAAAAATAATTTTAATACTTTCAATTTTTCTGGTATAAAATTCATCGCATATTTATTTGTGTCTCATTTTTTCGAGGCTGGAACACTATCTCGATGTACTAGACACGGTAGACGTTGTATTAACGATTTATAACCGAAAATCATGAAACAGATTCGACAGATTGATTTGATTTCTAAAAAGTTTCTCGGATTTCCACTCTCCACTTTTTTTTTGGCGTCTACTTGCTGAGAATTTCGAAAACTATTGCATTTATATCGCATATATTAATTATTTTATCAAACCACTTAAAAAGGGTTTTTTTTAATGTTTTTTCTTCATTTTGACGTAGAGATTCGACTACTTTGACTTGAATTCTAACATCTTTTCTCGAAGTACTTTTTTTGTCAAAAATTTATCCAGAGGGGAGAATAGCTTCATTTTTATGAAACAATTTCTTTTCATAAATAATATTTGATTTAAAACATTTAATTTATTTAATTTAATTAACATTTAAAATATGTTTCTGACACTGAAGAAAGGTATCCAAGAAGTAAAAATTTTTAGGTTATGTTTACAATTTGTTTCTGCCACTGAAGAAAGGTGTTCAAGAAGCAAAAAATTGTAGGTTATGTTTGACATTTGTTTCTGCCACTGAAGAAAGGTGTCCAAGAAATAAAAATTTATAGGTTATGTTTGCAATCTTCAGAATGAATACACAATGAATTCTACTTCTTCACTGCTTCGAAAATAACGAATAAAAACTATTTTCACTTGTTACAGGAATAAGGAAACTTAATGAAGGTAAAAATAGGACATAACCTAAAAATCACCTTTCTTCAGTGCGAATTACAATAAATTTATATTAAAAAACAAAGTGAAAACTATTTTCACTTGTTACAGAATTAAGGAAACTTAATAGGAAGCTTAATTAAGGTAAAAACAGGACATAACCTAAAAATTATCCTTTCTTCAGTGTGAATTATAACAGTTTATATTCGAAAACAAAGTGAAAACAATTTTCAAAGGAAAAAAGGGACAAATTTTCAAAAAACTTCGAGAAAAGGATGAATGAAAAATATTCTAGATACTTTTTTGTTTTCTATTAGCAAGGAGACACGCAACAATGAATTAAGGGGGATGTTAAAGTTCAGAGAGGGAAGCGACGTATTACATAACTTCTGGTAACTTATCCTTTTGGTTGCTTTCCGGTCTGTTTCTTTTTTCTTTCTCTATTTTCTTGTTTTTTTTTTTTTTGCTTTTTATTTCTTCTTTATTACTTCTGTTCTATAGTGCTTCGAAGCACGGCAGTAAAACAGACTGCCATGGCTAGTCTCGTACAAAAATCACGTATTTTCGTAAATTGTCTTCGTCGTCGTGATTAATAATTAATAACATTTTGTTTTTTTACGTGTATACACATTAACTATTTTTTTTTCATTTATTTTTCGCTACGAACAGACACATCTGAAATTCACAAACTTTTTTTTTTTTTTTTTAAAGTGGCTTTGTTTCTCTCTCGAGACACATTGGGACAAAACCATAGGAGATGATCTTGCAAAAATCTGTTATAAACTAATTAAATAATTACGTATTCAATTGAAAAAAAACCTTACCTATGAAAAAAGAAAAAAAATTTATTTTTTCATAGGAAAGAAAACATTTTTTTTCACCTTATGTTTGTTTCTTTTCATTTCTCTTTTACTTCTTATTCATTTTACAAAAAAATTTCTTTTTTACAAAAAGTCATTCTAAAATTGCGAAAAAGATTTTTTTTTTTCATCTGGCATCAAGGCGCAGATCCACAATACAGAGAAAATGTGTAAGCATTTTTTTTTCATTTTAATTCTAGTTTCTAAATATACTGAACACTCAAGGAGTTTAAAGACCTTTGAAAGTTTTTCTTTATATTTTTTTCTTTTCCTTAGAAAAAAAAAGAAACTTTAAATCCTTCAAAGACCCAGAGAAATATAATAATGTTTAAAAATGTACAAATTTTCATCTTTTTTTTGTTAAGAGCGACAGTATAATAAATATGATAGAATATAACGACGACAATAAATAAAAATTGCAATTACACCCTCAGACATTAACAAATAACGAAAATACAGTATAATAAAATAGAAATAGAAGACGCGTATGAAATCTGCAGTTCAAAATTACTAAATATTTTTTGTTTTCTTTAATTTCTTTACTTTACTCAAGAATATTTTTTTTAAATTATACGAATCTATTTTCGAGGTAATCGTACATTTTCTTTTTATCATTTCGCTTCTTCAAATTGAGTAAAAAATATAAATGAACGCAGAGTCTAACGACATCACTCGTGCACATACAAAAAGACATTATATTTATTATTTTTTTTTTTACTTTTTCTCTTGTTATAAAATACAAACAAAATGAAAAAGAATTGAAAAAATCGTTTGTTTTTTTTTCTAATATAAAAGAAAGGGTATAAACAACAATTGATATAAATAAATGTTCAAATGCCTAAAAACTAGTTTACCTATCATTATTATTTTGTTCTTAAAAGTTTTCATTTTTTACACCCTCCACACAAAGCCTTCGAATGTCGAAAGGTTTTGTGGTGCTACAATTTCCTGAACCCTGCAATGTTAAGCATCTAAAATTAGAATTTGATAATAATCGACCTTTTAAAAATTCTCTTGATATACATTTTTATGTGCATTATTTTTAAACGCACTGCTCTCGACAGAAAATAAAAATTCTTGTGCGATCGGTAATACGAGTCCTTTTTTTTCCCGAAAAAAAAAGAAAAAGTATTTTTTTTCTGCTCTTCAAGCAGACTTTTTGATCATTTACTTTGTTTTTTTTTTCTAAAACAATCCATAAAAATCTCACTTGAAAAAAAGTTTCATCAATTTTATTAAAATTGACGAAAGAAAATTTATTGAAAAAATAATGATTTATTTTTTCAATAAATTTTGTCATTTACTTTGTAACATTGGAATGCACAATATAATTTTAACAAAAAAAGAAAAACAAATATATATATGTATGTAAGTAAATTAATTTCTCTTTTAAAAACAATTCAATAATAAAAATCATATTTAAAAATTACTATTATTTAAAACTTAAAATTTTTTAAAACATAAAAATTTTTACATATCTTAAATATTCAAAAAAAAGAAGAAAACTAAAATTCTCTATAAAAGAAAATCTCTAGAAAACAATTGTAACGGACTCTGAAGAAAAGATACCAAAAAATTTTAAGGTTATGTTTGTTATTTTTTTCAGGATAAAAATCCATTGATGTCTAGATTTTTATTAATTAAATCAGTTTTTATTAATTAAAAATTTTTAAAAATTTTTTAGTAATTTACATTACTAAAAACTGATTTTTAATTAAATAAAAAATTTAAATAGAAATTTTTAATTTTCGATACAAAAATCACAAACATAACCTCAAAATATTTCGCTTTCTACTACTTATATCTTTCTTCAGTGCGCGCCACATTTTATAAATTAGAAAAAAGAACAGGAAACATTTAAAATAAAAAAGGGGTGTAAAATTATTTTAAAAACTCAACATTTTCCAAAAAAAAAATTGCGACTTTTTAGAGATTTTTCCCTTTTTGGATTATTATTTATATTATAGTAAAAATTATGAAGAGATTCTAATGCCTTCTTTTTTAATAGGGGAAGATATGGAAGTAGTTTTTTCGCTCTAAATAAACAATGGAACCATAAAAATTAATTTCAGGCGATTAACACGTGTATAATATTAATTAACAACAATATGTAAATATTTCTAGTTTTCGTGATTAAATGACTCGTTTTTTTTGTGCAAGGCGAATATATATACATAGGACATTCACTAACGGTTTTAATAAATTAAAAATCGAAGATTCAAGTTTTAATAATTATCAATGAATTATTATTAGAATCCCTGAATTTAGCGTTCGACACTTAGCGTCAAAAATAAATTTTTGGCAAAATCGAAAATTATAAAAATTTTTTTTTTTAAGTTTATAGATTAAAAAATGCTATGAGTATTTTTTTTAACTCCCGAGGTGAAGTATTCGTCTCTAAAAGACCCAAAGAAATTATTTTTATTGCTCAGCGTCGACGCTAAGTTCAGAGACATAATTATCATTTTTTATTGATCAATTATTAATTATTAATCAAGTTAAAAATAAAAAAGAAAAATTCAAATTTTTTCCCTCTTTTTTAATGAATCTAATAAACCGTTTATGAAAAAATTAATTTAAAATATTTAAATCATGAACGTCGTGAAAAAATAAAATTTCATTTAATGTTCATCTTCTCAGATTTTACTCAATTGTATCTGAATTTGATCTAAAATAAAGAAATCCAAAATGGCGGATCCAATATGACGATGAAAAACGTCGCCATCTTGGATCCGCTATTTTGAATTAATGAATTTCTTAAATTTGTGAATAAAATAATTTTTTATCAAAAACTGCTACTTGGAGCATTCAATTAAAATGTTATTTTAATTAAATTACGAAAATTTTTCAGAATTTTCTTCGTAACTTTTTCGAAATTAAAAATAAGTTTAAATCGAAATGCAAATTTTTAAAAACTTGCATTTAGATTTAAAACTTAAACCAATAGTGAATGAAATATATATTTAAAACTTGACGGAAGGTGAAAACGAACATTTTCCTTTATCCTCCCGTAAGCGAATTTTTTATTTCTCTCTCTCACTCTCTCTCTCATTCTCTCCATTATCTCTGATACTCTCATCTTGAATTATAATATTACTAAAAATAAACAGTTCCAAAGATTTTAAAATGTTAAAAATTACAAAAAATTTCAAAACAAAAATTTTAGAGAAATTTTTTATCTGTTCCACTCGTTTTCCTTTTTTTTTTTGGGGGGAAAAATTTTCTTTCATTACAAGAAAATTTCCTGTAATAATTCTTTTTCTTTTGTTTCTTTTTTGTTTCGAATTTTTTTGTAATTCAGACCATTTTCAATTATAAAGTGATTTTAAAAACTACATCTGTTATGTACGTATTAATTAATACGATAGATATACATAAAAACTACACATGCGCACATTTTTGTATAATAATAGATTATCATTTTTTTTTATATAATGCATGTATGTACGTATGCGCACGTGTTTCCACCATTTTTTTTTCTCTTCTTGTGTGTATGTAATATGTATATGTATATTTATATATAAATGTCGCGAATAAATTGTGTTCATTTTAAAGAGCGCGAAAGGCGTTGCCTTTTTTATTAAATTGATTTCTCTTATGTTTAATCTTTAGCTCTTTATACTCTCGCTTTTTTTTTTTTTTTTTTTTTTAATTTGACGTTGAACTCTCATTTTTGCCTAATATATAAATTGTAAATATTACATTAGTTTTTTTTGAATAACTCACTTTCGGAGTTTATTCAATGCGTGATTTTCTTTTAATTTCTTCAATTGTTCACGTGTGTGATGTGACAAAAGAAAACGGGGGTAAAAAAAAATTGTTGAGAAAAAAATTTTGAAATTTTTTTAAATCGAGGCGAACATGTTTGAATTTTGATTTGTCCTTCGCGTTCATACACGCGAACCAATAATAAGAAGTTCACGCACGTGAATATTGTTCTTTTACTTCTTTCAGCGAAAATGAAATGTTAGATTTGATAAAAAAAGGACATACAGTAGGAAAGTGTTGTGGGGACTCGTCATGTACAGGGTTGGCCAGTAAGAATATTGTTTTTTGTGCTTTCTTCAACGTTTTGACAAAAAAAAATTCGAGATTTCAGTCTATTTTTAGCAGAAAGTCGCAAATAAAAGTATTTTTGATCCGCTCCCAAGAAAGATGAGGAAGAAATTTTAAATTTTAGGGTCAAACTTCAAAATTGAAATTTTAGGTTATGTTTACAATTTTTGGAGTAAAAATATCAATTTTAGAATTAGAAATCAGATTTTTAAATTTTTAGGTCCAAAATAGGTTTCAAATTAAATAAAAATTAACTTTTAATCAATAGAAATCTGAGGCAAACATAACCTAAAATTCGTTTGCTTCTCAGGTACCCTCCTCGGGAGTGGGTCAACCTTTTAGAAAAGAAACTCGTTTTTGTTTTAAATTTCAAATAAAATTTCTTCAGTCAACACTACTTTTTGATTGAAAGCTAAGATAATTCACCTACACGGAGAGAAAATATATTCAATTTTGTAAAAGTACTTTGTATTTTAAGGAAAAATACAAAAAAGTTTTTCAAATCTAGAAACTTTTTCGCGCCGTATTCCGTCACTTCTAAGAATTACTAGAAACAAAATGTCGGCGGACGAATAAAACAGCTGATCCACTTCAAATTTTTAAATTCGTCTAAATTTCAAACAAAACGGAATTAAATGACGATACTTCTATAAAACAATTCTCCCCAATAGCAAAAATGTGTTTTATATGTAAATTATTAAATAAAATTCATTTAAAGAATTTAATTAATAAACTTAAATAATTTGATAGAATCCTATTTAGTAAAAAATTTACTATTTAATATTTTTTTTTTATCTTCTAGCTGAATTATCTTGAAAGTAATTTTTGATCGAAGAATCCGAAATCTCGATAGCAGTGTAAACGTAAAAAAGAAGTCTGAGTCAGTGGTCACCTGTTGTACATAAATCGGTACATAAGTTGTGTACAATTAAAACGCTTTTCGAAATACTGTAAAATCTCACAAAATACTCTTCTCGTAAAAAGATTGCGACTGAATTTCCCTATTTTTTCGGGGAATTGTGTTTCATTTGGAGTTTTTTTTTGTTTTTAGGGGGACAAGGGTCTTATTTTTGTTTTAACGATAAAAATTCGAGATTCGGCAAAAGTTGGAAAGCATTCTCAAGAAAGATTACTAGCAGATCATTATATAGTTTACAACAAAAATGAGATTCCGATTTTTATTCGGATAAAGGACATTCTTCAGATTTCTAAAAATGTTCAATTATTCGTACTACTATAATTCACGAAGGATCGCTACTTGGAGTTTATTTCTAAATGGGGAATTGAAGAGTATGCTGAAACAAACAATCTTTCACACTTTAATCGTGAGCATTCTGACGCATGAAAATAATAATTTGTGACAAACGAAATTAACTGAAAATTTTTCCAAAAATCAGCATACCCTTTAAAGAAATGAATCGGAGAGAGGATTTTTTTTTTTGGACATCGTGGACTCTGCTACTAACTTCGGAGCCACTAATTTTTTTTTTTCTTAAACTCAACAACCAGTCTCAAATCTCGACTTACAAGTAACTATCACGTGTCATATTGTTGATTTTTCTGAAAAAAGCAGAGCTTTCCTTTTCTTTTGGGAAATAAATCTTTTTTTTTCTATAAAATAAAGATGGAAATGAATTAGAAATTTTTAGAGAAACTTTCAGAAAAGTCAACTTTAATGGCACTTTCTTAAATGTTACTTGTTAGTGATGCATAACCTTGACGCACACAACACTTGTGGCAAAGAAGATTTGTTTTTTCTCTCTCTCTTTTTTTTTTCTTTATCTGATGTTTAACGAATGAATATGCGATGCCCATAGAATGCCTTTTTTTGTAACGATTAGGAATTCATTAAAATTCGAATTTTAGCAAATATACCTTACTTGGCAACGCAAATCAAGTCGACGCACGTTAATAGTAACAAGATGGACAGGTGGGAGGACACGTTGACGGAAACGAAGTCACAAGAGTTCGTATTGGCGTAGGTGCATCCGTTGAATGATATCACGACAGTCGTTGAACACTCGCTTTATATTTTCTGTGTCTACGGCACACGTGAAATGTGGATAACAATAGTGTTTTCCATCACCACTTGCTGTACTTATACGCTGAAACAGATAATTTTAAATTATTTCTCAAAAAAATATTATTTTAATACTCTTGACGCGTCCCGAAGAAAGGGACCTGAGAAGCAACTTTAAGAAGCAATTTTAAGGTTATATTTGTGTTTTTACCTTAATTGAATCATAAAACCTAAGTTATAATATTTACACAAGGCAGAAAAGGATAGAAACATTCTATCCTTCTCCATTTCCCGTAAAGTTTACGATTTTCAATCCCAAATTCACTTTCTACATTTTAAACCAAAAGCCAAGGGATAATAACAACACACATAAGTTAGAAAAGGACAAAGATATATTTGTATCTTTCTCTATCTCATGCTTCACGTTCGTCAGGGTGCAGAAGCTAAACAACGTGATTTCTACAGTTTATGGTCTATCTACAATATCAAATTCTTGCCAATGGTCAATACACCTCTAGGCTTGATTACTATCATTAATAGAACTGAATTACATAAAAGATAAAACTAGTGTTTTATTAATAAAGCAACTCGTTAAATAAAAATATTCAAAATAAAAAAAAATACTTACGAGAAATTCGTCTCTAATAAAGTACTTGGCCCGTATGACATCCGGAGGCTCCGTCGAGTCCGTTACAACTCCAGGTTCAATTGGCGTTTGATACCTTGCAAATTCTGGAAAGTAGTCCTCTAATTTGTGCTTTCCCGCTTTTACCTTTTCCGCAAGTAGATCTTGCTTGTTTAAGAATAAAATAACGGAAATTGTGCGAAGCCATCTGCCATTGAAAAAAAAGAATACATTTAGTGCCCTTGGGAATATTTGAATCCAAAAAGAATATTTTTCTCATCATGAATTTAATATTTAACTAAAAATACTGAAATATTTATTTGGAATTTCAAACCAGAAGTAAAATGTGTTTAAATCTCTGCGTTCGAACACTGCGCATGCGTCGAGCAATGAGAGAGAAAAAAAGACAGACATATACATCTATTCTTGTCACACTCATTGCTGAACACTGCGCACGCGTTGAATAACAAGAGAGAAAGATAGACATATTCAGCTATCCTTGTCACATTCATTACTGAACTAGAAACGCCGAATTCGAACAAAGTCTATAAAAATATAAATTAATAGAAATTTGAAGAACAAAATTTGTACCTATTATTCCAGATACTTTTGAACAAATCAAGACTCTCACGAAGTCTTAATTTTGTTGGATCTTCCCTAAGCACCATGTTGTAACTACTACAAGCTGTAACGAATATGATTGCCGTCACGTCGTTGAAGCACTGTATCCATTTTCTTCTCTCATCTCTTTGGCCTCCAACGTCAAACATGCTAAAAAAATTCCAACATTATTAATAAATTGAAAAACGGAAAATAATGTTTTTTTTGTCGTCTTGTGTCATTTTAGTAATTTAGTAAACCGAAACATTTCTATTATAATTTTTAGTTCGTGGCTAAAATAATAACGAACAGCTTCTGCGCAGAAACTTCTGCGCACGTCTCAGTATGCGCAGAAGTCTACTGCGATCTTTATTTATAGAAACGAGACGCCCCTCAGAACAACTACATTTTTTGACAGAAAAAATTCCTAAAATTAAAATTTCCAAGTGTGCAAAGTATTTTCTATTTCTATTTATAAAAGAAGAAATATAATTTGCTAAATATATAAAATATTAAATGGTTTAAAATATTCTGCTAGCCTTGAAAAATAAATTTTTTTTTCTATTCAATATTGATAATATTATATTTCTTTATGTAAAAGAAATAAAGTGCAGCGGATGGAGTTTATTAAACATAAAAACAAAAATTCTACTTTTTTCTTGATTCTTTTTATAACATGCAGAAATTACACGGTACAGTAACGTTAGAAGAGATGACTAACTATCGCCGACAAGATGTTACTACATGAACTATAAACAACGTTTTACATGTTGAAGGTGTAATTCTAACCAGCGTTACTCTCAGAGATTATAATATATATATACAACTAAACCATCTCCTTCAATGCTAAGAAACACTGACGACAAATTCTTTCCTGACATATTATTCTTAAAAAAAATATTTCTCTGTAGATTAATTTTTTTTCCCGTCCAATATATTTTTACATTCAATTTTTTTTTCCTTTTGTTATATTTATTCCCAATATTATTATTTTTATGTATATATTTTTGTAATATTATAATAATACAAGGTGATTTTTATGATCCGGCCCCTTAAAAATATCTTGAAATGAAAGTATTTTAGAGAAAAATGTTAAATACCACAAAGTTGTTAGGTTCAAAAAATTATATCTGTGAATTTTGTTTTTTACTTTTGTATTTAACATTTTTTTCTAAAACGCTTTCCTTTTTGGGATTCTTCGGTGGTTCGAGACATAAAAATCAATTTTTTATATATACTAATAATAATTGTTTAATTAATTAATTTCATAAAATGGAACTTACTGAAAGTTTACTTTGTCAACTTGAAACCGTGTCTCGAAAATACCGGATGTGAGGACACGACATCTTAAAATATCCTACAAAAATTGAATTATAAATTATATTTATTATTTTTTTTTTTTTGAAATTTATAGAAGAGTAGAAAAAAAATTATTACCTGTTCCGTTGGCGTGTAGTCAGGTTGTTTTACGATGGCTACTTTGTCTAGGAAACTGGAAAGAAAATAAATTTATTTTAAAATGTAGACAAACATTTTCTTCACTTGGACCGTTTTTTTTTGTATTTAAAAATTTTTTATAATTACATAGAATTTAATAATTTATTTGTATGGCTTCGAGTTATCAGGACAAATTGGGTTTATTTCAAATTAAAATACAAAATACGAACAATATACAATTTAATTATTTTCAATACAATTCTTCGTAAAAATTCAATTATTTTCAAAAATAAATACATTTTTGATTCAAATTCAATTATTTAAAAAAATTTGAATAAAATTCTGGACAAGAAATTAATTATTTTCATAAATAATAATATTTTTCTTCACAGGAATTCAATTCTTTAAAAAAATTTTTAATAAAATTCGTTGCAAGAATTCAATTATTTTTATAAATAACAAAAGCTTATCGCAAAATTTCAATTATTTTTTATACAATTTTAAATAAAATGATAGAAAATTTCATTTATTCTTAAAATTTTTTTTAAAATTCGTCGAAAAAATTCAATTATTTTAAAAAATTTTTGATAAAATTCTTCATAAAAATTCAATTTCAAAAAATATTCAATTATTTAACAAATTATTTATTTTTGTATTAAAATAATTGAATTCTCGAAAATTTTCCAATAAAAATTGATTAAAAACTGAATTTCACTTAAAATTTTAAATTATAATTGAATTTATTAAAAGCATTATTGTGTGAATTTTTAGAAATAATTGAATTTTAAATAGGGCTTCGAGTTACCAGGAGAATTTAATTTATTTTAAAATTAAAATACAAAATACGAACCATCGAGGTATTTTACTGTCATGGCGTCAAGCGCGTCAAGTCAGTTAAAGCCGAAAATTCCCGAAACAATCCGAGCGTAAACGAAGGCGAAACGTTTAGGATAGAAAAGGACAGAAGATACTTCTTTCCTTTTCTAACTCGCACGCCTTCCTTTCTCGTTTTGTTTAAATTTATTTACGAATTTCAACATTCGAAATTGGTCGAATTTTCTAAAGTAAATTAATTTTTCGTAAATAGGAAAAATCTTTTTAAAAAATTATTTTAAAAAACTATATAAAAGTTAAAATTAAAAAATTAAAAAAAATTCAAGTTATGATAAAAATTAAAATTTTGAAAATTTTCAGTAATTCGAAACGAGAGGCTGTTGACTCTTAATAAAGGAATAAAAGAATGTTGTGAGAAGCGATTCATGTCAGTTGTGTAATCTCCTAATTAGAATTTGAAACTAAAGGGTCTAGAGAAGGAGAGAGAGAGAAAGAGAGAGAGAGAGTGGCGAGAGTCACACAAAAGGAAGCAAGAGGAAGACACAGGAAAAGGGCGGGCGGAAGTACTGGTAATAGTGAGCGGAAGTACCCGGAAGGAGCTCAGTAGAGTAAGACAAATATGGGAATCGTTGAAGAAACTTGAGGTGGAAAATGGGGAGGAAGGACGGCAATGGTGAGAGACCGAGTAGCACACCGAGTAGAGAAATCGATCTGCAGAGGTATCCTACCCTAACCTCAACCCTCACCCTCTATATGTACTCTGGCACAACGCGGCGCGGCATATACACATTCGCCTCTCTGACTCCCGGTTTCTATCCGGGTCATGGGTCACTGCCACTGCTGCTCGCTATCAATCATACAACCAGACACACTTGTAAAATCATTATTTACTTCCATACGTGAAACCCTCTCTCGTAACCATGATGATCATTATGAGATTGAGAATTTATAGTCACCTTGCAATGATCATTGAACATTTCAAAAAAAAAAAAAAAAAATTCCCCAATGCTCTTGATTTTTATGAACTGAATTTCTCAAAATAACCATTTTTATGAACACTAATTAACGATTTTTTAAAATCATGAAAATAAAAGTAGCTCTACACTTCAAAAATATGTGTCTTTTTTAGAATTTGAAAATAAGACAGTAATCTGAAATTAAGATGTTTCTGATCAATAAAGTGCTCATTATTACCCTAGGGTAATAAATTTCTGGTCAATAAAGTGACTATTATTGCCCTAGGGTAATAATGAGTACTTTATTGACCTGTAAACAAGGTCAATAAAGCGACCATTTAATAGCCTAGAGTAATAAAATGACCATTATTGACCTAGGGCAATAAAGTAACCATTATTGTCCTAGGGTAATAATGAGTACTTTATTGACCTGTAGAGAGTCAATAAAGCGACCACTAAATGTCCTTGGGTAATAATGAATACAGACCTCAGATCGACTTTAAGACAAAAAAAATCGCTTTAGTAGATTAAAAATACAAAAAAAAAAATTCGTTTATTTAATTCAGAGTTTCAACGAAAATTTTATTTTGTAAATTATTGTCCATGTTCTTTACAATGTTATTAAGGTATAATATTTTTTAAAAATTATAATAAAGAAACTCTTAAAATTAATTTTTGTACAAATATTTTTAAAAATTTTTTTTAAAATTTTAAAAATAATTGAAATTTGGTAATAAAATCTTTTTAAAACAATTGATTTTTGGTAAAATCGTTTGAAAATAATTGAAATTTGACAACATTTTTTAAAAATAATTGAAATTTGGTAATAAAATCTTTTTAAAACAATTGAATTTTGGTAAAATCGTTATAAAATAATTGAAATTTGACAAAATACTTTTAAAACAATTCAATTTTGATAAAATCTTTTTAAAACAATTTAATTTTGGTAAAATCGTTTAAAAATAATTAATATTTGACAAAATTTATTAAAAATAATTGAAATTTGGTAATAAAATCTTTTTAAAACAATTGAATTTTGGTAAAATCGTTTAAAAATAATTGAAATTTGACAAAATCTTTTAAAAATAATTGATTTTTTGAAAAATCTAAAATAAATAATCAATTTTTTGAAGAATGTTAATTATAAATATAAACCTGATTTTTCCGAAATTTTCCCAAGACATCTTTTTAATCTAAAGAAGTAAATTTAAAAAAATGTAATTAACTTTGTTCATAGATAAGTCATTCTTAAAAAATTATATATTATGATAAAAAAATTTTAAGAAATTTTGTAAACTGAAATTAAAAAAAAAAAGATTTTAAATTTTGAAAATTTAAAATATCAGAAATAAATACTGAAGAATTGTGTTGAAAGGAAAATCCCTTTCCTGTAGGAATGTTTTTTCGGAATTTCGCACTAAACAAATTAGCACTAAATCGGAAATGAAGGTCATCAACCCCGGAAAGAGGTCACGACCTACTGACTTCAGAGTAATTCTGCGATTGCCCCATTAAACTTGATCAGCATTATTTACTATCGCTTATCATTCAATTCAAAAATTACGAGAAATAATTTATTTTTTCCTCTTATTCCCTTTCATTTTTTTATCTATTTCTTCTCACTATGACACTAACGAAAATTATTACTCACCATTTGGAAAGTAATAATTAAGACATTAAAAAAAATCACTAGATGAGAAATAGAATTTTATCAAAATTATAATTTTTCCTCGCAAGTTTTTCTTTTTCAACGTCAAAAAAGATTTCTTTTCTCGAAATTTTTCTATATTTTTAAAAAGTTCATCTCGCTTTAAAAAAAAAGGGAAAATGAAAATATACTTTCAACGAAGAAAGATTTATTATATCTATTTTGTTTTAAAGGAAAAGAAAAAAAAACTTTATCGAACCGTGAAACAATATTTTCGATGTTGTCGGCGCCTTCTGAATTATGAATTATAGCGATTGCAGTCGCGCCAATCGTTTCGTATATAGTTTAAAGAGCTCCGGGAATATCAGTAGCAGTAGTGTACGAAAATAAATCAGTTTCTTGGTATATGTATATACACATTAATGCTTGATTGACTTCGAGTAGTTGCTTCTGCTACTCACATGTTAGATTAAACTAAGACTTTAAAAAAAAAAGAAGAAAAGAAAAAAGAATAAAAAACATTAATTAAAATACAAAAAGTATGTATAAATAACTTTGTATGTTTATAAATGTACGAGAACAATTAAAACAACAATAAACGTTTATCGCGGTTTATATATAAGTACATAATGGAATTGGAATTCAATGTTTCGTTGATCAACTGTTTCTTAATCGAAAGTTAATAATAGTTTTCGATTTAAATAAGCCTCTTTATAAACTATTAAATGCAATTAATAATGGTACAATGTATCTCTATAAGAATTGACTCTTTTATTAGCCGGATAGCAAGGAAACTTTGCAACAAACTTGCTGGAAGCCTAAAGTGCAATGTTGCCAAGCTTACGAAACAAGATTGCTATAACTAACAGGCTGGAGTCAATCTTGCGATGTAACCTTGACAATATTTCACAGGAAGCTTCCCAAAAGCTTGTTTTAATGTGGGCTACCTGGGTGCAAGCTTGTTGCCATGTAGACTACCTGGGTGCTGCCTAAGTGCAAGCTTGTGGACTATCTGAGTACAAGCTTGTTTTAATGTAGACTATGGGTGCTGACTAAGTGCAAGCTTGTGGACTACCTGGGTGCTGTCTAGGTACAAGTTTATTGTAATGTGGACTATCTGGGTGCTACCTGGGTGTAAGCTTGTTGACATGTAGACTATATGGGTGCTGACTAAGTGCAAGCTTGTGGACTACCTGGATGCTGGCTGGGTACAAGCTTGTTGTAATGTGGACTATCTGAGTGCTACCTAAGTGCAAGCTTGTTGACTACTTGGGTGTTATCTGGGTGCAAGCTTTTTCCCATAAAGACTATCTGGGTGCTGCCTAAGTGCACGCTTGTTGCTATGTGGATTATCTGGGTGCTACGTGAGTACAAGCTTGTGGACTACCTGGGTGCTGTCTTGGTGCTATCTTGGCATAGAAACATGTGTTTATCCTCCAAATAAAACTTATTCAACTAAATATTTATATATCGAAAACTGCTCTTCATATTTAGTACCAAACTTTTCCCACAAAATTCTCTTTGATGTCAACATTTTACAATATTTCTATAAACATTTTGATGACAGTAATTTGTCTGGTTCTGCTATAAAAGTGAATTTATATATTCAAGTGAAAAACATTATAAGGTTTAGTCACGTGCCTTCACGTAACAATAATGCGTTAAAAGTACTGGGTGAGAGTGTACATTACATAAATTGTGGGTGGTTTATAAGGGTCTCTTTCTCTTTTTCTCTCTCATATATGAGAGTTTCTGCAGTATAACCTGCATATATATATCTCGTGTCAACAGTCCGAATTATATCTCTCGTCTCTTCCTAAAAATACAACAGCGCTATTTATACAGTGTAACACCTCACACAGTGCCGAAGGAAAACACTAAAAAACTTCATCTAGAAAAAAGAGATAAAAAAAAAAATTTTTGCTCATTCAACTGAAACGTTCGACTCACTGGATTTATTTGCCTCACACAAAAATAAAACCCCCGAGTTTGATGGAGAAAAAAAGGAAAAATTCTCCATACCAACAAATGAAAAAAATTTACACTATTCAAAAAGAATATATAGTTTTATGATATCGGAATATTTATAACTACGAAAGTAATATTTAAATTAATACTGAAATAATTGAATTAAATGTAAAATTCAATTCAATTAAAAAATTGTTTTGTTTAAAATACTTGTTTACTTTAAAAGTACTAGTTTACTTTAAAAATGTAGTTTTTTTTATAAAGTTAGTTTCATTAAAGATTTAAATTTCATTAAAAGATTTTTTTTTTTTTCATTGAAAGAGGCTATTTTAATCTTTTGATAAATATCTGACGAAAATCCCCTCTAGAATTACTAACAATAATCCCCTTGTTTTTGCCAAATTTAAAGTCATGTCTCATTTCCCTTGAAATGTAAGTTGACGAAAATAAAACGCGCAAGACAACAATCTAACGAATGAATGAAATTTTAGAAAACGAACACTTTAAATCATATTTAAGCAATTTTTAACAAAAAACAAAATAGTAAAACATTTTTTAGTAAAATTTTCTAATTATTTTATTCCAATGTTTGTAAAACAGAAAAAAAATTAAAAGTTTAAATTAACTTAAATTTTTTTCTTTAAAGTATAAAAATGGAAATTTTTGCAATGAAATATTAAATATGTATAATAATATATTATTGGAAAAATTAATTTTTCTGAATGAAAAATAGACATGACCTTTTAGATTGTGACAATTGGTACAAGGAAAATGGTGAATGGAGGGCACGCATGGTGATTCTAAGTATAAAACAAGTGAGCATAATTAAAGTGTTTGACGTTTTGACAGTCGCGAACAGAAGTCACATGCGACGATTGTTGACTAAACGGATTAACCTTTGTTTACATCTGGCATTTACGCGCCTTTCTCAACTCGTGCAACTGCCACAATAGATTCACAATTCCTCTAAATGTAAATTTTAATATTTCAATCTCAATATTGAATTGCAATTGCAGTTTGATTTCAGTATTTTTTAAATTTCTTTTTTCATTGAAATAATAATTTATTTTAAGTACAAAAAACTTGGAAATAAGTAATAATTTCAATCGTAAAAAGAAAATTTAGTAAAAAAAAAATGTTTTCGCCTATATTACGAAAAATCAGAATTCTAATCGAGTTAAAAGAGCAAAATAAGTAAACGATTGCTTGTCAATAGACAAGTCTTTTATTTTTTTTTGCTCTTTTAAAAAAAATTTGTAATTTAAAAGAAAATTTTGTTAATAATAATTAAAAAATACTTTTTTTTACATTTCTTAAAAGTTCAAGAAAAAACACATATTTCTTTCTTTGACAACTTTTTTCTAAACTCAATACTTTCAAAAATATAAGCTACTGAAAATAGGTCTACTTTTAAAAATCATAAATTTCGAAAATTCATAACTCGAAAATTTGGGCAATTATTTAGAAATAAAAAAATACGTATTCAATATTTTTCTATAAAGAACAAGAAAAAAATTTGTTTAACCAATTTTAAAATGCCATAGGAACAATTCACGTGGAATTACCCATATATTTACTTGAATTAAATAAATTTTACTTGATTTAAATAAAATTTACTTGAATCAAATACATTTTACTTGAATCAAATAAATTTTACTTAAATCAAATAAATTTTACTTGATATAAATAAAATTTACTTGAATCAAATTTTTTTTTTAAATATTTTTAAATTTAAAAAAATAACATGAAATTTCAAAAAAATTCACATTTTATTAAATTAAAGAAAAATCGAATTTTTTTAAAATAGTTGTAAAAAGAGATGATATTGTATACTAATATTTCTTTCCTAATGTTATATTTTTGACTTTCAATTTAAAAACGCACAATATAGACTTAATAATTTGATTAAGAAATCAACTGACAGCATTTGATTAAGACATATTTCAAAAAATTATTTAAATTTCCAAATATGTGTGAAACATTGAAGACAATGTATAATAAATACACACCAGTTCTGTAAAGGTTTTCTTTACACTATATTTGCTTACATAAATTTTTAATTTCAGTCAATAAATAGTTTTGTCAAAGGCAAGCAAAAAATTGTTACGTTTGTCTAGACAATATTTTAACATATTTCCTTCTTCTCGAATAAAACAAATTTTTCCAAATTCTATGAAAACATTTTCTTTACTATCGCATTAATTTCATTTTTTATTTATTTATTTTTGGTACACTACCTTAATTTTTGGATAAAATAAAATTTTAAGTTTAAATTTTTGTTAATTTAATAATTTAAAAGAAATTTTTAATTTAAGAAACTATTTTAACATTTAAAAGTTCGTGTTTATAACTCTTAGAAGCGCTCTTGAATAGACAAATGGTTTCTATTAAAGTGATTACCTCGTTAAAACATTGTCTCTATCACTAACTAAAATCGATGTGTTCGTATTATAAAAAAAAATATTTTTTATATTTTTAATTTTTTCTATTATAAAAAAAATAGAAAGTAAACATATGAAATGCTTGTCAAACATGAAAAAAAAATAAATTTCTTTTATCGTTGATCAATAATCACTGATAAAGATTAAATAAAATTGATACTAATTCAAAGATAAATATTAAATAATAGATGTTGTAATAGAACACTGTGACCCTATCAAAGGATTGATAATGAAAAATTTGCATATAAGGTAAAAATATAACTTTAAGAGAAAATATAGATAAAAAATAATTTCAGTAATAATCAGTAATAAAAACGAAATAAAAAAAAATAGGTACATTAATATAAAAGTAATTGGTCATCATAAAATTGAAAACAAATAGTCAAGGGATAATTTTCCCATTTCTACTAAAAAAAAATTTTCAGTAAATAATAAAAAAAAATTTTTTTTAATTTTGAATTTGAAATTAAAAAATTAAACTTACTATTTGGCGCAGTCAATGAGCTGATACTCGTTACTCCTCTCGAAGCTTTGTTGAACACCTTTGTCCCTCCAAAGATTTTCAACGATTTCATAAAACTCCTGAAAAACGAAGAAAAAATAAAAATTAATTTACTTTCAAAAATTTGCAAAAAAAATATTCAAATTAATAATTAAAAAAATATAATTAACGGATAAAAAGCAATTTTCTTTTTTTAGATCCTTGATCTAAAAATTTGTATACAGTTATTTGTCTCCAGTTATCTTTCATAAAGTATCTAAAATTAGGATAATGTTTTAAAAATCGTTCAAGATTCTAAGGTCAAGTCAATATTAGTTCCTGATAAGATAAGACAAAACCGGTAAAAAGTTATTTCAACTCAAGTCAGAAAATAACGCGCGACAGAGGAGGAAAAATACGGATCACCTGTAAATGAAATATTCCTTAAATACCTCTCAACTATTTAGTTATGCCTACAATTGAACATCATACGTAAAAAAATATACACAAAACTTGTTTAATTTAAAAAAAGAAATAGTCGAAAGAAACAAAAAAAATTTTTTTTTTGGGTGCATTTTCAAATAGTAGTGTGCCTTGAAAATATTTTTTTGGAAAATTTCAAGTGAATGCAATTAATATAGTTTTGGTGGTACACTGCAATTAAAGTGAAGGGCTCGCTCTGAACAGCGAAAGCAGATATAGTCGGTAGCAACTTTTAATAACCGGTATTATAATTAGATGTTAGAGTATTGTTAGACGATAATGTATTTGTGTTAATTCACGTTTGAAATTTTAATTAGTAAGGTAAATTTTATTTTTGGTCTAAATTCGTCAAAAAAAATAGTGCAGACGAGAAATAAGTAGTAGAATCCTGGTTACAATAAGTTTTAAGAACATTGAAAGTCAGCAGCAGATGCTGATAACCGTTCATAAATTTCTATTTCAGATCATTGTTAGACTTCAATCAGTTAGCAGTCGTCCTTCATTCAGAACAGAAGATCCAAGATGAAACAAATTAATTCTCAAATTTATTTAAAGTATAAAAAGTAATTTGTAATTTACACAATCGAATCCTTTATTCAGGATATAAGATCCAAGATGAAACAAACTAATTCTCAAGTTTATTTAAAGTATAAAAAGTAATTTGTAATTTACACAATCGAATCCTTTATTCAGTATAGAGGATTAAAGATGAAACAAACTAATTCTCAAGTTTATTTAAAGTATAAAAAGTAATTTGTAATTTACACAATCGAATCCTTTATTTAGGATAGAAGATCCAAAATAGAACAAACTAATTCTTAATTTTTTTCAAAAAAAGAAATTTGTAATTTACACAATCGAATAATTAGATATTGGATCATTGTTTGTGACAATTGACATTTTGGTAGTAGAATCCTGGTTACAATAACATTCGAGAACTGCAAAAGCCAACATCAGTTTCTAATAACCGTTCTCATATTTCTATTTTAGATTATTGCTGGACGTCAATATATTTGTGACAGACAGCAGCCGTCCTTCAGTCCGGACAGAAGATCCAAGATAGAACAATTTAATTCTCAAGACTATTTAGAATATAAATTTATTTGTAATTTATACAATCGAATCCTTCATTCAGGATAGAAGATCCAAGAAGGAACAAACTAATTCACACACTTGGGAATCCAATCGAAAATGTTGACTAAAAAAATTCAACTGCATTTAAACCTAAAGTGAATAGAAGAAAAAATATAATTTCCTGTCATAAGCAAATGGAATTCGAGTGACATTCTGGTTTGTGTTAAATAGCGTGGATTTAAAGTGATCAATTTGAATTCGTGGATGAATGAATTAATTGTTGCAATTAAAACAGGAACTATGGTCTGATAGAGCAGGCCAATGAATATCGATTGGCAGTTATTTCCAATTGAGATCTTGTTAACAAAATATTTCTCTATATCAAAATCGAAACGTAACATTGTATTGAAAATGGTTACGTAATATACTAAGGAGCAATTAATTTTAATTACTGTTTATAGTTTAAATTTAACAAAAGCAAAAAAAAAACAGTTGTTTTTTTTGCTTCAATTTAAACATAACATTTGTGTACTTTCTCTCCATTTTCTTTTATTGTCATCAAGTTTTCCGGTTAGTCGTTTTTATTAATCAACCTACACCGCAGTTAAGATCAAAGAATCGGGTGGATCTCACAGCTATAAGCAGCGGAAGTCTTTGAAACGATGTTTGTGTGGGAGAGAAACATTGCTTCTAACGATGGTTATTAATAAATTCTTTGCTGGTCAATGCTATCTCGATGTGCCATTTGCGATCAATACTAATCTACATGATTCCAGAAGAATAAGATGAAATTCATAATTTCCCCAGCGTATTATTTTTAAACTACTCAATTTTTTAATTATTCTCAATATTAGTTAAGCGTTTTTTTTAGATGAAAATCTAGTTCTCCGAAGTTCGATAAAAGTTTTTCTGAGTGTCGACATTAACTTCCGAAAGACGTGAAAATTCCAGAAAAAAATTGAATATATTTACAATACTTGAAAATTGGACAAATTGAAATTATACTTTTGCGGTGGTATCATGCTCAATGGGATATTAACAAAATTTCGTCAAACTAACCGCTAATTACTGAACAAACGTGTCGTTATAGGCGTCACCACGGATTAAGCGGCGCTTTCCAGTGAAATGAGAACACGTTTGACAATCTATTTTCAGGTCGTAAAGTCTACGATACTAAAATACAGATTGCACGTACATTTTCAAATTCTCCAAAATATATATATACATATTTTCTTCGTCAAAGGTTAAAGAACTGTAAAAATTCAAATACATATAGGCTCATGTCAGTTGAATATATATATTCTTACACTCTCGACTATATATTGAAAAACTAAAAATAACTTTTGAAACCGAAAAAAAATTTATTTTTGTATATCTAATTTCATTTACTTCATCAAAAATCCAAATTTCACGTTCCAAAAATAAATATAATTCCCTTATCACAATTTATTCTAAATATGGTGACACAATTTATGGATCAGAAATTCTGAACGAGGCAAACAAAATGGATCTTCTATAATAGTTTCGGATCTTTTAATAACAGTTCCAAGTGACGCTAATTTCAATCCTTTTTAAAGAAATAGTTTAAAACTTTTAAGCAAAAAAATAATCAGGTTCCCCTCTCAAAACATTTATGAAAAGAATTTTATTGACTAAAAATAGCGAAACTAATAATCGAATTCTCGTCGTTTATTTAATTTTAAAATACTTGTAACAAGTGATAGTGGTCAGATGAACAAATCTAAGGTGGATAAGAATTGCCACAGTTCCAAAAAATTATTCCCAAGTGTTTTTAGAAAAAAAGAAATTTGTAATTTACACAATCGAATAATTGGATATTAGATCTAATTTGGTGTCAATCTTTGTGACAATTGACATTTTGGTAGTAGAATCCTGGTTACAATAAAGTTTGAGAACTGCAAAAGCCAACAGCAGTTTCTAATAATCGTTCTCATATTTCTATTTTAGATTATTGCTGGACGTCAATATATTTGTGACAGTCAACAGTCGTCCTTCTTTCAGGACAGAAGATCCAAGATAGAAGAAAGAATTTTCAAGACTATTTAGAATATAAATTTATTTGTAATTTATAGAATCGAAGCCTCTATTCAGGATAGAAGATCCAAGATGAATCAAACTAATTCTTAAGTTTTTTTTTTGAAAAAAGGATTTGTAATTTACACAATCGAATAATCATGAACAAACATCTGAAGTGGATAAGTGTTCAGGGTTGCCACTAAAAATTTATATCCTTTTTCCCTAATTTCCAAAAATTTAATTAACTTATTATTTTCAACTATTATTAATTATCAAAAATAGAAAAACTTAGTTTTTTATTAAAATTCTCATGGCGATGTCAAAGTCCATAAGGCAAATAAACATAAATTCAAAAATTAAATCCTTTCAATATTTTCACCAAAATTTCGAATTTTCTTATGAGTATTAAAATTTTCATATTTTTCAGTACCTTGTAAAGAAATTCATTGTCTTTTTCCTGACTTTCCTGATATCCCTGACATTTCTCTGAATTTCCCTGATTTTTCCTCGATATCCCTGACTCGTGGCAACCCTGAATAAATAAAAACATTAATTTCTCTTCGAAACTATATAATATATCTAAATAATAATATTCCGTTTAGTTTCCTATACATATATATATATTGAAGATTTTGTATATGAATTTGAATTAAATTCAATGCAGAATTGTAACACGAATTAACAAGAGATGTCTGGTTGCTTGATGAGTTTAACAACCAGTACGTGATTTCCGCGACATCAGTAAGTGGTTGAAATCTCAATTAGAAATCCCATTCAATTGAATTGGTAGCACGGTAACTGCTGATCGATGGCGTTTCTCTGAGCACTAATAAAGGGCAAATTTTACATATATATATATATAAAATTTCTTAATTATAATTACATCGAAATACTTGTTTCAAAGACAATTTGAAAATAAAAAGTATTGACGAGAAGTTATGTCCAATTATCCAAATTTCTAACCTATATAATACTTTTTTTCTATTTCAACAAGTTTCGTTATTTAGATGAAAATTATATACATGGAAGTAATTAAAAGTGAAAAAAGTAGGCGTAAAGCGTCACATTTCTCCCTTTCCTTTTAATTAGACGATTTTCAGAAATTGTCAAATTACAAATGGGTAAAAAAATTCTAAAAATTGTCACACATCGAAATCAAGTTACGTGAGAAATGTGACTCCATGTGATTTCACCCTAATTGCATTCAACCTAATTAGGGAATTTCCCCATATTTCGAAAGTCACCTATGACGCGGTGAAGAAAGATACAAGAATCAAATTTTTAGGTTATGTTTGTAATTTTAAAGAAAGATTACTTTTTTGAGATTAAAATTAAAAATACTTTTAGAAATAAGAACAAAGAAATATTTTGAATCTGAAATAAGGAAAACACTCACCGAGGGATAATCGAAGTCAGGGGAAGACGAGACTTCGAGGATATATTCGACTCTACTTTGATTCGCAGGATCTTCCAATGTTACAGGTGGCGTTAACGTACTCATAGCACTTGTTATCGTCTGCAAACATAAAATTACACCAATTATTATATCTATCATTTTCATAAATATAAATATAATATAGAAAATTACTAAAAAATATTTAATAACTTTCCATGAAAATTAAAACAAAAATGAATACGATAGATTTGTGATTATTACTGATTTGTGATAATAGAAACATATTCAGTGAATAAAATTCACTTAAGTAATAAATGAACTCGGATTACTTGAATTTATGTACTTGACAAGAAAACTGTTTACCTACAACCGTCAAATACGATCATTTGTAAGCAATGTGTTCCGTCTACTCCAGAATGTGAACCTATTTTTAGATACCTGCCAGTACCGTACACATCATCTTTTACGTTTGACTTTTATAATAATAATCCTTTTCTCTAACTTTTGTTTTTCAAATCAAGCACATAAAACTAAACAAATTCATATAATGTCGCACAAGAACAATTTTTGAAAAAAAACTCATTTCCTCAATGACAAAAAAAATCGATAAAGTAAAAATATATTTAAAATATATTTACTAAAAATAATTAAGAAGGCTATAAAAAAACGTATATTTTCTCGCTTGACTAAATTTTATATATAAAACAGCACACAAACTTACCAGGATTGCGTCCCTGATGTTTTTCTTGATATCCTCGATTTTTTGTCGTTTTTCACTGGAAAAAAAAACAATCAATTAATATTGCTATACAATAAGAAAAATAATCGAGATAAAAATATGAAGAAAAAAAAAAGTCAGCGAAAAGGTACGTTAACTATAATATAAAGTATAATTTCTTGAATTACATTACTTTTTTTCTACTAACGTTTTTTTTCCCTGCTTTTTAATCAATTAGAAGTTGATGAAACTAGTCGCAAATGAAGATTTATCTCGAATTATTTTTATAAATTATTAGTATGATAATTAAAGATTTTGAGTTTATTAATTAATTCGGCCAAAGCTATTAATTATTATTCTGTTAAATTTTTGAGAGTAATGCACACTCTTGTGCGGCACAAGAACTGAACTCTAAACGAGGTACAAATATTGTCCACGTTTTTGGAATGAAACACACGTTTTACCGCATATCGCATATTTGCACGCGTCACTTTTTTTCAATTCAATTAAAATTGTAATTGTTCCGGAGAATTGTTCTATTAAGTTTGAAACTTTGTAAATAACTTTCACAAAACGCATTGAGCGTGTTTTTTACAGTTAATAATATCTACAACTGTTGATAAATTTAATAATTTAGAAATTTTCATTAAAATTTAAGAATTTCTTCTTCAATTTTCATGACATTTTGAATTAAAATTAAATTTTCATGTTTTAAATTAAAATTGAATTTTCAAATTAGTTTTAATTAGTTTTCTAGGTCACTGACTATGAATCTAAAGTCAGATTTTCAAAATAGCGAATATTTTTTCAGAATTGATCAAATTCTCATGAAACTTGTTACTCAAGGCTTCTTTGGGTTCTCATATTGAATTTTAAAAATTTGACTTCACATTCGTAATCAGTGTCCCCGAAAGCCCCCAAGTAATAAGTTTTATGCAAATTTGAGCAATTTTGAAAAAAAAGTTCTCCATTTAAAATTTTTAATATCCGACTTCACATTCGTAATCAGCGACCCTAAAAATTCCTAAGTAACAAGTTTCAATCGAATTTAAGGAATTTTGAAAAAAATATCCGCCATATTGGATCCGACATTTTGAATTTTTAAAATCTGACTTCAGATTCGTAATCAGCGACTCTAAAAACCCCGGAGTAACAAGTTTCAAGCGAATTTAAGGAAGTTTAAAAAAAATATCCGCCATATTGGATCCGCCATTTTGAATTTTGAAAATCCGACTTAAGATTCGTAATCAACGACCCTGAAAACACCTGAGTAATAATACTCAATACATTTTTAATAAATAATAGTAATAATTCTCAGGGGTTTTCAGGGTTGCTGATTACGAATCTTAAGTCGGATTTTCAAAATTCAAAATGGCGGATTCAATATGGCGGACATTTTTTTCAAAATTGCTCAAATTTACATAAAACTTATTACTCGGGGGTTTTCAAGGTTGCTGATTACGAATCTGACGTCGGATTTAAAAAATTCAAAATGGCGGATCCAATATGGCGGACATTTTTTTCAAAATTGCTCAAATTTACATAAAACTTATTAATCGGGGGTTTTCAGGGTTGCTGATTACGAATATGACGTCGGATTTAAAAAATTCAAAATGGCGGATCCAATATGGTGGACCTTTTATTTCAAAATTGCTCAAATTTGCATAAAACTTATTACTTGTTACGCAATTTTAAGCAATTTGGAACAAATGTCCGACATTTTGAATTTTAAAAATCTGACTTCAAATTCACCGAGAAAGTAAAATAGGTATAAATATAGATTTTTTGCATTTTTGCCCTCTTGGCCAGGTTATAAAAAAGAAAAAGCAAAACATTGCCATAAAATTGCGGCCTAGAAAAATATTTGTGACCCGCTTCGAAGAAAGGAACCTGAGCAACGTATTTTAAGTTTCTATTTGTGTTATTTTTACGTTAATTAAAAACTAATGAAATAATCAATTATTAATTTATTAATTGGGTAGGTTTTGGTGTTAGGGGTGATTTTTTGAAAATTTAATTAAAATCCAAAATTATGGTACAAATTTAAAAATATCAAAATTGTGGCGATTAACAGATCTCCTATCTTCGGGGGGCTTAAAATTTATTTTTAAGAAAATTGCTTAACTTACGGTTCACTAAATCCATTGACGTGTAATATCCTCATCTGTTTAACGATTGTGCTTTTTCCCGACTCTCCCGCACCTGAAACAAAAGATTAAATTTAAAACTCATCACTGAAGCATAGAAATCATCAGAAACGCTAAAAAAAAGTACCGAAACATAAAGAAAAGGAGCAGGTATTCGCAAAAACCATTAATTTACAATTTTTGTTCTCTCTTAATAAAGGATTGAAAAGGTTATGAAAATAAATTTTTTCCCAAAATCGAAAACAATAGCAAACAATTTTTGGTTTTTAGGTTAAAAAGGTGTCATTCAGATTTAGAGACAATTTTCAACTCTAAACACAAAAAAATTATATTTTAACTGAAACTAAAAATTTGGCTAATATAATAAAATTTGTAGTTGTTCAAACTTTTTTCTGATTGTGTCACTTTTTCCTGACCAGCAGTAAATTTAAATTTAACTTTTAAATTTCAAGGCTCTGGATCCCTTTTTGCTGTACATTTGCTTGAATAACGTTTCAAAAAATTTTTACAATTCCCCTAATTAACGAGACTGATGAAATACACAACGTTTTTAAAAACAAAAGCGAAAAAATAATGCCAGGATTTATTTTATTTTAGCTTAAAATTCATGTTATTTTTGAGCAATTTTCGAAAAAAATTTTCAACATCCCTAATTAACGAGACTGAAGTTCATAACCCTTTTAAAGCCGAAAACGAAAACAAGCTACGATTTATTTTATTTTTGCTCGAAATTCGTATTATTTTTCAAGCAATTCTCTTTTAAGTAATAATTATTTTCTTTATAGTATTTAAAGAAAAAATTCTTTAAAGTTTACGCACATGAACATTAGAGATAAATTTACTTTGAATAATTCTTTTTCATTCTTTTTTAAAAAAAACATTGTAGACTTTTCAGCATCATCCTAATTATAGAGAACAAATTTTTAATATTTATTTCATTTTCGGAAGATTAGCATATATTTGTATTAAGATATCAACCTCATGAAGCATCATCACCCACGTGTGTTTGTACTAAATTAGAATTAAATTAAGGCATATATTTTGTTTTAACCTGTTGCCATTATTATTATAATTATAATTATAGTTTAAACAGGTTCAATGATCTCGATAATGCAAACAATTTTTTTATTTTGCTTTTAAACATGAATTTGTTTTGATAAGGATAATAATTAATTACCTTTATTCACGTGTGCTCAAAATAAGCGTAAATTTAAAAAAGTTTATCTCTAAATTATTGAGATTTTATTGTATATGTAAAACAATTTATTTCATTCGAGATGTAAAAAAGCAAAAAGTAAAAGTGGTAGAAAATAGAAATAATGGACAAATTTTTAATTTGTAGGTTTACTAGAAAATTCTAGTATTGACTAGTTAATGAGTTTACCGAATTCACTAAAGGTGACCTACTGAAGGCAAGTCAGGTTTTTATGAGAACTAGTTCTAACTAGGCAATTCGGGGTGTTTTTTTTAGTAATTTTCTTTTGTTACTAGAAAATATTTTTCCCACTCAATAAACTGTAGAGAGAAAAGAAACAAAAAAAAGTAAAATTTTAGGTTATGTTATACTTAAATCATTTATTATTGACAAAAAATTATAATTTTTATTCAAATATAACTTTAAAATGTTCAAAATGTAGAAAATTAAATTCCTTACGCTTCTACCGAAAGGAATTTAAAATTTAATTTGACTCTTTTTTTAAAATACGAAATTATGACATTGGACTAACTTTTATATTTTTACTTTACATTAACACAGCTTTTCTGAAAATATTAAATTGAGACAGAAAACGAATAAAAAATTTTGCGAATGTTCCTGATTCAATTTAAAAGAAAACATTTAAAGGATTTCAGATTTTTTTTTTTCAGGGAAAGAATTTTGATGTTATTGGTCCAGCACAAGCATCGTTAACTTAAAAGTATCAAATTTGTAACGAATTGATACCAAAATTGTGGATCAAATAAAAAATTGATCCAAATTTTTAGCATCAATGTATGATCCAATTTAGTATCAAATGTATGATCCAATTTAGTATCAAATTTGATACTTTCAAGAAAACTGCGATACGAAAAAAGCTTAAAAATGAAATAAAAAGGATTCAAATTTTTGTCATCAATATGGTCCACTTTAGTATCAACTTGATACTTTCAAGAAAGCTACTGTGATTTGAAAAAAAGCTTAAAAATAAAATAAAAAGGATCCAAATCTTTGGCATCAATATGATCCACTTTGGTAACAATTTAATACGTTCGAGAAAACTGCGATACGAAAAAAAAGCTTAAAAATAAAATAAAAACGATCCAAATTTTTGTCATCAATATATGATCCACTTTAGTATCAATTTGATACTTGCAAGAAAACTATGACATACGAATAAAAACGCGATCGATAAAGTTCTTTATGTTTGAAAATGAATCACTGTGGATTCAATCGAAAATTGTAAATGTTAAGCCGAAAATGTTATAAACAAATTTTAACGTCAGGAAATTATTGCAGGAAGTTTATGATCCAATCAGAGTGAAAGCTTACTGTAAGCTTGTATTAATATTAATAAATATCGTCAAGTACGTTACAGAGTCTGTACAGGATTAATAGTTAGGCAAAATTTATAGCACAGCCGCAGGTGCCATAAAAAACCGAAATGTTTCATATTCTCCTACTAAAGACCTTTTTGGAACACTGAAATTTCTCTTTTTTTTGCATTCATCCCATAAAATATGTGCCAAATTCTTAATTGTTTTGTCCCTTTCATTTTGTTTTCATTTTTTAATAATTTGCCACATAGGTGCCAGTTTCACAAAATTCGATTAAAAAGTAAATCAATGATTAAATCCTTAACCGACCAATCACGAGCGGTTAATTTTTTAATCGGTTTTGGTGAAACTGTCCCTTAATATGTTTGTTATGCCGGTTGCATTTTTTACTTAGGGTTAATTTATCTCCTTTGGAAATTATCTTCAGGGATATTGCAGCTTTATGTTTGATACCGTTTCCCTAACAGTAACGGATCCTAGGGACGTTCTAATCACATCCGAAAATTTGGAATTCCTATGATGTCCTTAAGATATTTTAGGACTTTCTTGGGAAGTCCCTGGAAATATAATAGATTCCAAATATCCGAATGCTGTTAGGGTTGGTTTTTAAGAATTTTAATTCCTGAAAACTACACATTTTGGGTTCAAACTCTTTTATGGTATGACTAAAGATTGTTATTCAACTGTAAAACTTTTGGAATAAAAGTTTATCTTAAGATTCCAATCATATTTTTCAAGACACTTCCTTGAGGCAATGAAACTTGTTCTTATCCAGTAGGAAGTTGGAGATTAGAACAGTTCCCGGGAATGTTTCTTCATGACACAACAATGTTGTTGTCCAAAGTAAAAACCTAGTAAGTCTAGGTTGGACAACAACATTTTCGATTAGGTCGCAGTTCCTATAGTTGACCACCTGAAAATCGAACTAAAGGACAACATTTTTTGGACAATGTACAGAAAATAAGTGAAATTACCACTTACCAAGTAATAAAAGCCGATGTGTTGCCCTGTACACCTGCTTATCCTTCTGCAATTGCTTCGAAATCGCATCCGAGCGCCTCTTTTGGCTTTTGCTGTCATCCTGGCTGGCCTTGCTGCTCTGGCTGCCGAAACACCCCATGACACACGAGAGAAACGCGCCCCCTTCGCCTCTTCCTTCTGCCCTTCCCTCGCACTCCACCTCCACCCACTTCACTATCACCTTCTTCTACTATCTTTTTCTCTCTCGCACTTCCCCTTTTCACTCTCAACTTACCACGATCAACCCCCGTAACTCGACCGTTCACAAAAACACTCCCCCTTCCCTCTTGCACTTCAGTCAACACATCCGTTTTTTCTCTCTTCTTTTCACACTTGATATTATCTCTCTCACTATCCGTTTTCCTCAATCGTATTTTCCTTTTTGGTTCCGTGTTTCTCTCTCTTCAGAAATTGGATTCTCTCTCTTACCCAACTGCGGGGCAAGCAGGGCAATAGTTATTCCTTCAGGAATCCTAACCTCTTTCTCTCTCTCTCTCTCTCTCTGCCAAGGGTTTTTGTAGCGTAAACCCCCCTTTAACCCACCGGCTTTATTCACCCTCTCACAATGTGGCACTCACGGCTCACATAACTTCACTGAACAGCACGTCTCTCCTCTCCTCGCCTCACCTCTTCGTCACTCCTTGTCTCCCTTTGGCGAAACCGTGCCGCGTGCAGCAGCCGCACCAGCTCCTCGTTCCTCCGTTTTGCTCCGTTTCCAAGAGGGCGACCACACCACACACAGGCCGACACCTGCCCACCTCGTCGATTGATTCGTCACTCGCGAGGCAGGCCGAGGGTCGATCGTTATAGGGATTGCTCACTCCCTACCTTCTTTTTTTTCTTTTTTTTTTGATCCTCGTTCTCGTCTTCCTGCTCTCTCAGCTGATCACCAATTCACCGGTGAATTGATCCAACAATTTTCAATTTCTTCAAAACTAATGTTCGAAACTAGTTTGGAAAGGATTCAAAATTCAAGGATAATTTCGAATCTTTTTTTTTTAGAAGGGAAAGAAATTTTGCCGTTTGTCCACAGCCACTACCCTTAAAGACAAGTTAAAATTGATTGATAGTGGCACGTCCCGAGACGTAAAGAGTATAGCAGTGACAGGCCGGGACGGAGTACACAAACATGGACTACAAACTCTAAATTCTTATTAGTACATGTAAAAACTTGAGGACGACGATTTTTTTTTTTTTTAAGGATCCCGGATGATATTTATTCGCGATCCTCTCGTCGGGGGCTTGTTCGGATCAGATACGATCTTTCAATCCCCCCCGCCCCCGAGGTCCTTGGTTGAAGAGACTTTTAATAATGACACCCAACACAGCACTGGACACGCGTACACTTCTCACTCTTCCGTACGCACACCCGCGAGAGATGACCTTCTCTCTCTGTCACACACTCTTTCTTTTCCCCCCCCGGTTTCTCACCTCACCGTTTGAGGTCTTCACTCAAGAAATCCCGAGGAAGCTCTTCACGGGAAAAACGTCCGAGACGAGGTGCTCCCTGTAGCTAACATGTCGTCTGCTAGATACACCAGCGCGACGATGGCCCATCATCGAGACGAAAAGTAGTGACATAAAATTTTCCAGAACCCCGTTGTTTCCGAACTTTGATTTTTTCCCCTCATTTTAATTTTACCAAATCCCTTCATTCCCCCCCAACAATTTTTTTACCAAATTTTTCGATTTAGAAAAATCGAAAAAAATTTCCCCAACTCTGACAGTGAAAAAAATAGTTTCAATCGAGTATGAAATGAAAAAGAAGACATAGGGTTTGTGGCAAAAGTGATACGCTCCTGGAAGAGTACACGAAATCCGAGGATCGATCGGAACTCTTCGGGTGAGCCCGAAGTCTACAGGTGACATCAGCGAGGTTTCGGAGGTGTAAAGACAAAAAAAAAGAAAAGAATTCAATAATTGCGTTTGCATAAGGAAAAGTGAATTATTATTTATCAGATTGAGAGACGCAGAAGAAAGACCCGAAAATAAAGGTTGCTGACTGATAAGCAATTTTTTTTGCAAAAGTCTTCAAAAATTTCTGACGAGAGACAAGTTGCCGCCTTAAATTTCAAATTAAAATACAATCATATCTGGTTTTTTTTTACAAATGACAACAAAGAGTGACATTATTGCCTCTGTCATGAAAAAGGAGGAAAAAAAACGTTAAGCGGAATTTAGACTTTACTCCGTATTCCGGTCTTTTTTTCAAGGTAGAAAATTTTTTTTTTAAATTAACATTTAACTGAAAAGTCTCTATAGGGCATAATGTGCATTTCAATTTTTTAAAATATTTTTTACGATTTTGGTCAGAAACGGATTTACAATCTTAATTATAAAATTAGACGCTACTTTTCAGAAATATATTTAAAATTGTGGTTTCAATATGGCGACGCTTTTTTTAGAACGTCGACGCCATATTGGATCTGACATTTTTCATTTTTATAAATTCAGGGTGGGCCCTGAAAATTTACTAACATTAAAATTATTTTGCCTCACAAAATTCTTTGAACGCAGGAAAATATAAAAGTTTAGGGGGAAAATGAGTATAAAATTTATATGAAATTTAATAATTTCTAAAAATTACACTTATAACGCTTGCTGAATTAAATTATTTTCAATAATTTTCAACTAAACTTCATCTCTATAATATTTTAAATAATTTTCCGAAGGTTGTTCAAGAATTAAATTATTTAAATACGAAAATACAATTTTTTATATAATAATTGTAACTGTACGTTTTTTTCTTAAGTTTATTAAAGTTTAATATTCACGAAAAAATAACAACAAAATTTTTAAAGAATTTTAATTATAAATATGATCATGATTTCTCCGAAATTTTAAAAAGTCTAAAAAAGTAAATTTTTATTTGCTTTATATTCGTAGATAATTAAATTTTAAAAAATTATGATAAAAAAATTCTACGAATCAGGTAGTTTTTAAAAATATTTTAATTCTCGGAAATATATAAATGAAAGTACTGAAAATAGTGCATTTTAAAAAATTAGAAGCTAATTTTCATTAATTAATTAATTAATTAATCAATTAATTTTCAAAAAAGTTCTTTGACAATTTTCAAATCCATTTGTTTACAATCATATTTCTTCTATTATTTTATCAACAAATTTTCAAATACTTCCAATTCTTTCTACGATTTTTAATAAAATTTTGCTAAAAATAATTGAAATTCTGCGATGAAATTTACTATTTTTGAAAATAATTGAATTCCTAAAAAGAATTTTATTATTTTTTTAAATAATTGAAATTTTGACAAGAATTTTATTAAAATTTTTGAAAACAATTGAATCTCGGAGAAGAAATATTTAAAATGACGGTTTCAATATGGCGACTCTTTTTTTAGAATGTCGACGCCATATTGGATCCGACATTTTTCATTTTTGTAAATTGATGTCCCAATGTCCCTTTTATGATCAAAAAAATTGCGAATTGCATTGAATTTTTGAAAAAGTCATTCGCCATTTTTAATTTTGAAAAAGTAACATTAGGTTAAAAATCAGTGATCCCAAAAATCGCAGAATACCAAGTTTCTAACTATAATTCAATGAATTTAAGATAATTTCTATGATTTTTGAAAAAATGCCCTCAAATTCATAATCAGCGTTCCTAAGAAACTCTAATAACATGTTTTTTCTTATAAATATCGGGGAAAAAATAGACAATTATTATAAGTAAATAAATATATTTTTTTTATTTCAAGTACCATCAGTTCAATCTTAACCTGTACTTTCATATACAACTTTTAAATGGTTCATAACCTCTTAACATTTACATTTAAAGTAAAGTAATATAAGTTTTACTTGCATCTTTAATTATTGTACTGTTTTTTTTTTGTTGAAAAAAATTAAACAAAATTCGTAGGCTATATAAAAACTAAAATAACAATCGAGACATAAATGTAGGAAAACAATGATACAATTAATATATATCATCACATGTTTGATAAGTTAAATATAAATTTTTTTTTTTGATCTCACACAATGAGATCAACGTTTCTTAAAATCGTTATAATAAAACAAATGTTTATTTTTTATCTTAAATAGTATCAATAACAAAAACAAACGTTGAAATCACAATTAACCATCTCTATAAAGTATATAAAATATAAAAATGATTTCATTTTTTTATATTATGAAACAAAAATGGAAATTACTTTTTTAGATTCCATTTTTAGTTTGAAAAGAAACAGAAATAATGTACAATTTCTTACAAAGAAGTGTAAACTATTTCTACTTTATTCATCTCCAAATAAATAATAAATTGTAAGAAAAATCTTTTCTTTAAATAAATTTTATCATTCAACACTTGATTTTTAGTTTTAGTTTCTTTTTCTTTTTCCTTTTCCACTGAAACCTAAAATCATGATTGAATGTCTCGACTTTGAAAAAATTTTTTTCTACAAAAAATTTCCACACTTGCCGCAACATTTACATAATCAACTACAAATAGATAATTCCGTCAACTCTTATCTCGGATTTTTTGTAGAGTAGGTACAAATCCCATAACAAATAGTTTTGTGGCATCAAAGTTTCGTTATGTATAAAACTTTTTTTTTTAAATGCTTCGTCACGTATTTAAAGTGTATCAAAATTTTCACTTGTGTTTTTTTTTTTATTTTTATGGGGAAATTCAAATATAAAGAAATTCTCTGCGTCTCATCGATGAAATTTTGGCAAATATCAAAAAAAAAAGAGTAGCACAGCCTTTCCCAAGAAGATTAAAAAGAAGAAAATGCTATCAATTCTCAAACGGATATTTCGTAATTTCCTTTTTTTTCCTTCCGTTCTATAGAGAATTTTTTTTTTCCACTACAGATGGTTATCTTGACTTGCATGACCCTGAGAATATGATTCTTTTGCGATTCGCACGCGACTAATCGCAAAAAAGTTTTGGCATCTTTCCAAGATGCTTAATTTTTAAATTACTCTTTTTTCTCAAAAAAAAAAAAAAAAAAAAAAAAAAAAAAAAAATCAACAACAACAAAAATATTTATAACGATGAGTATTTTTTTAGGACACAAAGTTCCATTGAATAGAATTTTTAACCACGTCGACACTGCGACTTAAATGATTATTTACATTGATGAGTCCCCTGATTTCGAGCATGATTCTTCGGCAAGAATTGCATTAAAATCCAGATCTTGAATGTTCATTGAATTTGGATTCGAACCTAGAAATAAAAATATCAAAAGTAATGTAATTACAGTTTTAAAAAAAACGAAATAAAAAAAAAACGAAAAAATGAATCAAAAAGTAAAATAACTTTTATTTCATCAAAGTACCTGCATGGGCCAAGAAGAGGTCCTTTAAAAAACCAAGTTCTTTTGTTAGCATTTTGATTTTTTCCTCTAACAATTCATTTTCGGTTTTCAATTGATTCACACGATCAAGAGTCTGTTGAGTGCGTAATTTACTCTTTACGCGGGATCTTTTTACTGCCTGAAAAATAAATAAGAGATAATTAATTAATTAGTCTTCGGTTTTGTGTATTTACAAATTTTTTTAAACTGAACTTCGATGAGTGACTCTTTAATAGTTTTTAGCTGCCATGAGAAATTTAATAATTCACTTTTAACTAGAAAGTAGCAAACTTGAACTAAAATTAATTTTTAAATCAATTTTTATTAAAAAAATTCTACGAGAATTTAATTATACAAAATTATATCAACAAATTTTTAAATAATTGAATTCTTTCGACGAATTTTAATAAAAACATTTTAAGAATAATTACCGTTTTTGAGGAATTTGATTAAAATTGTATTAAAAATAATTGAAATTCTGCAATGAATTTTATTATTTATGAAAATAATTGAATAATTGCAAAAAATTTTATAAAAATGTTTAAAAAGAATTGAATTTCAAATGAGTTTTATTATTTATGAAAATAATTGAATGACTGCGAAAAATTTGATTAAAATGTATAAAAAAGAATTGAATTTCAGTGAAAAATGTTGTTATTTTTAAAAATAATTGAATTCCTAAAAAGCATTTTATTATTTATGAAAATAATTGAACTATTGGGAAGAATTTTTTAAAAAATTTCGATTAAACTTTTTGAAAAAAATTAGTTCCATAGAATTTTTAATTAAAAGTATAAAAAATTCAAATTTTCAAAGATTTTAATTTGAAATTTAATATAATTTTGTAAATAAAATTCAATTATTTTTAAAAATTGCAATTATTTGTAACTTCTCCAAAATTCAATTATTATCTAAAACTTGAAATGCAAATAAATTTTTTAATCAATTTTTATTAAAAAATTCTACGAGAATTCAATTATACAAAATTTTATCAACAAATTTTTAAATAATTGAATTCTTTCGATGAGTTTTAATAAAATTTTTAAGAATAATTACAGTTTTTGAGGAATTTTATTAAAATTTTTTTAAATAATTGAATTGTTTTGGGGAAATTTGATTAAAATAGTAAATATTGAAAATCATTGAATTGAGGAAAATTTTGGAAAATAATTGAAATTTTGCCAAGAATTTTACTAAAATTTTTGAAAATAAATTCATTTTACAGAAGTTTTTTAGATTTTTTGAAAATAATTGAATTTTTGCAAAGAATTTTATTAATTTTGAAAATAATTGAATTCTTCTGATAAATATTACCTATAATTTATGAAAATAATTGAAATTCACAATGAATTTTATAAAAATTCCTATATGAATATAATTGAATTTCGTCGAAAAATTTTGCTATTTCTAAAGATAATTATAATTAATTAATTATGAGTATTTATAATTATAAATAAAACTTTATGGTAGTTCTTCAATAGAATTAAGTTGTTTAAAATAAATTATTGTCAGAAATAGAAAAAATGTAAGGTTTTTTTAGAATTCGTGGTAATATCATAGTTTATGAGGCAAAACAAAAAAAAACACAAAAATTCAGAATTTTCTTATAAATTCTAAACATTTAATTTTTCTCAAGAAATAATTGTAAATCCGTTTAAGAATAAAAATTCCCTCTGGATAATTAGAAACCAAAATAGTCACCTGATTATTCCTGTCACGTCTCTTCCTGTAGTCCTCGTCGTCCTCATCCTCGGAAATCGGTTTCTTTTTCTTATTCATCAAGTTCTCCTTATTCCTCGGCGCCATCTGCAAGAATTTTTAATCTGTTTTTAATTTTCAAAAGCATTCCATCAAAAGAATTTTCCAGTTATTTACCAGAATTGTTTTCAAACATTCAGTCCTCGGTATTCATAGTTCACTGACCGGTATTCTTATAGAATTATGTAACCAACTTTAAAAATTTAATATCAATTGCTTCTGCAATTGATAACAAATTTTTACGAAGTTAGAAAACTTTAAAACATTTGATATCAATTGCTTCTGCGATTGATATCAAATTTTTAAAGTTTTCTTACTTCGTACTATCAAACCAACAACATACAACTAGTTCAAAAAAAAATAATTTTTACTACTAACTTTTCTACAGTACTTCGAAAAAAAAACTATACCTAAGTAAATCCAAATTTTAAAAAAGGAATGTCAGAACGATTAAATAAAATTATTCTCAAAAAAAAACTAATTAAAAAAATGTTGACACAGTTGTACATTGTAGGAAATGATAAGAATTTATGATTTTGAATTTAGATCGGGCAACAATAAAAAAAAATGACTCCATATCGAAGAGTTAGACTTCGTTCATGGAAACGAATGCCAATGGTTTATTTACTCAATAATAAAACCTTGAAATCGTTAAGAAATCGGCCCTGACATCCTCTCAAAGTTACACCTTTTACAATACAATGAAACCATCCTCGACTATGTGTAATCTGACACGCGATAATTGTCCCCCGGTAATTATATCATTGGGGGAAAAAAACATACACATTTTTGAAAATAATTCCTTCACTTTCAGCTAATTGCGTTTTTATACTTATGCAAAATTTATATTTCTTAGAATGTTGCATTTTTTTTTTTTGCTTTTGAGACTATTTTTTCAGAAAGTAAAAATATTTAATATCTTCTGCAGAAAAGAATGTGATCTTCACTTTCAAAATAATTAATAGTAATTCGAAATAATTAATGTAATTTAAAATTTACGATGTTAGCCTACTTCTGATTACGCTCATCATTAGATTACACTATTTCTCTAAAGTATTTCCAGCTTTTCAAAAAATGGCAATTTTTCCTGAATTAAACTTTCGGGTTTAGTTGAAATTTGTCCAAATATTTACAAACTAGCAGAAAGTAATAAAATTATTCGCTTGGGACCCATTTTTACAAAAAATATAAACCGCAGATTTATTTGGGATCCCCATTTGGATAAAGATTAGAAAAATGTTTCTTAAATTGTGATTAGAAACCTTTTAAATTTTTACCAACAGGGCAAAAACTTATGATCGGTTCTTCGATCAGAACCATCAAAATAATCTTGAAAGAATTCGAAACATTCATTTGGAACCGACACTAGACAAACTTTTGGTGCAATAGATGCTTTTGTCAAATTTTTCCCTCTACTAATATTTTTCTAATTCCCAAAAAAAATTGATGGTCAGTGACTAGAACCGTGTTTGATAACAACCCAGGTACATGAACCATCAACAATTTTTGAAAACATTGTTTGAATATTTTAAACCCAAGGGATTTTATACCATACAATTTAGGGACTGACTTCCTAAATTCTATGATTCTTTTACATTTAAAAAAAGAGGTGAAAACTTTGCCATTCGGTACTTTGTATTTTTAGAGTTAATTTCAGAACCTAGGTTGGCAACATTAAAGACGTTAATATTAAAAATTCGGATAATGTTCCCATTCCAGGAAAAGAAGTTTATTAACCAAAAAACACTAAATGTCAGTCGAAATGGCAAAAATTTCACCACCTTTTCGTAACGGATTTTTTCACCCCTTGGTCCAAATGTCACACTCCTCCATAAGTGATGATAACATCTAAGGCCTAATGTATAACAATACTAATAATATTATTGTTATTATTAGTATTGCAAAACATAACCTCTACACATGTGTCAACTTCAAAAAAAAAAGTTTCATCAAAAACTACCAAAAATACAACAATTAATTTGTTTTGAAAATTACTTTCAAATATTGATACAATAAGAAAAGAAGTTACTAAATACGCACTTGAACAAAATAATCTCAGATTCAATGTTTTTGCAATGAATTCTAGGATTTCAAGAGCATGACATTAATTCCAGAGGGAAAATTTTTTTTAAAGTCTAAGCAAATTTCTTAATTACATTAAAGAAAAACGTACCTACCTTTTTGAAATTATCGACAATATTTTCTCTATTTCTATTATTTTCTTGAAATTGCACCTTATTAAGAACACTTTTTTTCACAAATTATTCACTTATTACACTTTATATTCCATGCGTGTACTTTGTCACAAATATCCAGTTGGACAGGTCACGAAGATGACGCAATTTTGCAATTTGAAAAATCATCGAGTGACAAATGCAACACAGATTGACGCTTGTTTCTCTAAATTGAAAAAAGAATGAGCAGGGTTACGAAAAACACGAGATATTTGTTAGGAAATCTCGTTGGAGTAAGAAAGATAGTAATAAAGTGTTTACTTTCTCTTTATCAATTATCGAAATGTGAGGATCACCTTTAGGATCAGTGTGACAAACGTGAGGAAATTAAAAGCGTCTGGGAAATTCTAGTGACTTTTTGTGTTGAGCAACGTGCAGCCCTGCACAGTATTAAAGGCTGAATACAATAATTTTAATTAATAAATGACAATTGGCAATGCAAGCATAACAAATAATTAATGAAATTTATTTTTATAAACTTGTCTCGTAATTAAAATTTACTTCACACTCGGAATTCATTTTCTCTACTGTACAAACTACTTCCCAGCAAAAATTTCAAACAATTTCTAGTTATTTTATTATCACCATTAACCACAAAGTATATAGATTGTGCGTTGGTATCACATTTCATCACATTCAGCTCAATTCCCCTAGAAACACCCCATTGTGAACTCAACCTCATGATCCATGAGTGTGAAAGAGAAGCAAATATATGTTTGCACTCTCATAGCCCATTTACAAAAGCCAGTTTTCACAATGAAAAAAAAGTCACAAAATTATTGTATAATAGATCTATTTTATTAAAATTAATCCCTCGTACAGACATATCCTAAATTTTCTAACTTTAGTGTATAAAAGAATGCTTCCACTTCCTGATCAGTAAATTTTGAATTAAATTTTGATCTTCTCAACTTCTTGAGTTAAAATTTTCAAAACCAAAAAACGAGAAAGCTATTTAAAAATAAGGAAAATATTTAAAGTACCTCAGAGTACATTTACTAAAAAATTCATCACAAAATTAAAATGAAAGAATATCTTTCATTCGAGTCAATTTTTTTTCAATACGCAGAAGAAAAATTACTAAAATAGAATTGATCAGTAGAATTATTAACGTCGAATAATTCACAATACTTACATGCACATTCCAGTAAATGAATCGAACCATGGGGGTAAAATTTATAAATTTACAAAATTCCATTTCTTTTTCCTGCTTTTTTTTGTTTACTCGGCTTCAGAACCACTTTCGCTGCTTTCACTTCCACTGCCACTGCCGCTTCCACTACCGGATTTCGATGGTGATTTCGAACCCGATCTCGACCTAGACGGTGATTTTGATTGTGATCTGGATTTAGCGGGACTTCGCGATCTCGACTTGGCTGGTGTTTGAGATCTCGATTTTGCCGGAGACGCTGATCGAGACTTTGCCGGAGAAGCTGATCGAGATTTAGAAGGAGATTTAGATCCTGAGCGAGAACGGGACCTCGAGGGGGATCTAGATTTGGAAGAGGCTCTCGATTGTGGAGTTACTGATCGGGACTTGGATGCGGATCGTGATCGAGATCTTGAAGTCGAGCGGGCTTTTGATGAGGACCTGGACTGGGAGCGAGACACCGATCGCTGGGATCTAGAAGCAGAACGTTGGGATCGTGACACAGAACGTTGGGATCTAGAAACGGAGCGTTGAGATCTGGAGGCAGAGCGTTGAGATCTTGACACAGAACGTTGAGATCGAGAGACAGAACGTTGAGATCTAGAGACAGAACGTTGTGAGCGAGCCTTAGATGGTGAACGCGATCGGGACCTCGATTTCGCTGGTGATCCGGACCTGGAACGTGAACCTGATTTTCTACTCGAAGCTTGAGAAGAAGCACGAGAAGTACGTGAAGCACGAGAAGTACGCGAAGCACGTGATGTTCGTGAAGCTCGAGACGAAGCACGAGAAGAAGCCCTCGATCCCTCTTCATTATCAGAACCAGCTGGAAAATAATTTCTTAAGTTACTAGGAAAAAGAATAGACAAAACATGTACGTACCTTTATCTTCGGTTCTGTCAGGAATAAGTTGAGTTTCTTCCTCCTCCTCTTCCTCCTCCTCCTCATCGTCTTCATCATTCGGTGGTTCGAGTTGTTTCTCCCGATAACGTTGCATTCGGAATTCAGTCGCATTTAGAACACGATGACGAACAACCAATCTTGTATTGTTCGGTTGTTGTCCAGCTTTCTGTCTACGCTTATTGAGTCGTACTCGGGTTTCCAATTCGTTATAATACACCTAAAATAATTACCAAATAATGGTTGTAATTCTATTAATTCTTTGTAATTCTGTTAGGAATTAGGAATAATTTTAGCTGATGAAAATAATTACCCCATCTTCGCGCATGACAAGAAAGTAATTCTCCTCGTAACCTTTGGACGATTTACTCTTAACGTTCCAATTGTACTCGCGAGCCATTTTATAATCATATTCCTCATCCTCTGCATATTCGATGTCGGCCATTTGATCTCGCTTACGTTTATCCAAAGTGTCTTCTTGTGGCAAGAAGTAGGCGACAAATTGCTCTCCACTCTCGTCCATCACACCCCTGAAGAATTACAAAAAAAATTCACTATTCAGATTAGAAGCACCATATTTCAAAGTCAATTGGATTTTTACATTGAGCGACAATGGAAAAAATCGTATCGACTTTCATCAACTTAAACCAAAAGATTGAAATTCAAATTACCGAATCATTGCCTGGGACATTTCTTCAATTTGAGCAGGAACCGATCGACCAATAGGCGCGGGATCAGAATCGAAAATAACTTGAGCACAAGGATATTTCCACAACTGTAAATCGAGAATACAGAAATTAGAGGAAAAATAAATCGATGAGCAAAGAAAGAAAACGAATAAATACCTTAAAATCAGGATAGACGGGTAAGATTTCGATTGGCACGACATTAGATTTACTGTAATGTCTCTCGATCGGTCTCTTATTGTCCTCGAAAGTTTTCTCGATGGCCTTTATTTGACCATCTCTGTCCATATAAAGTGTCTCCTCCTAAAAGAAATTTGATCGTTATTACAAAATTTGATTATTGATGAATTTGAAATTGGATTTGAAACCTAAACAACAGTACCTTGAAGTTTTTCTTAATACTGAAACCAACTTTGGCTTCGACTTTCTCGACATTTCCAGGTTGGAAACGTGTCTGTTCGGTGGAAATGTATTCAGTACGTCGAAGCCAAGAGACGCTACGAGCATGATGTCTGGAACGTTTCGAATCCTGTGGAGTCAAGATATCTTCCTCAAGAAGTTTCTCATCCGCAGGATCCAAAGAAACATTCAAATCGATGGCATAAACGTCTTTGTTTATCAAGTCGACCTCAACGCCGAGATCATGTTCCGTCAGAACATCGTATTTGTGATTTCTCTCCAAGGAAGTTGGATTATAGTCAATGAATCTAAAAGAACGGGTTTTTTTAATTCTAATAAGCAGATTCAATTCCTAATTTAGATTAAGGGGGCCCTCCGATTTAATCGGAGTTGGTGAAACTGGCCCTTAGTGTAAAAGTCAGTAAAAATTACTGTTTTGTATAAAATAGCCATTCCATTACATAAAAAATGGCGCCTATTATTTTTTCGGCAAAAAAAAAATTAGCGGTAAGCTAAAACTCACCTGGTTGATTCAAAAGGATATGTTATGAATTTCAAATCAAACGGAATGTCCGGAAGGGTATTGCAGAATTTAATTCTACATAGTAACTCCGATCTGAAAAGAAACGAAGAATTAAATTTTTAAGTTTTCTATTTTGTTTGGTTCTTATGCTGTCAAAAAATGTGCACTTTGGGGTTATGTTTAATATTTTGTCTCTCACCTTCTGTCCTCCTGTCGCACTGATCTTTTTTCCCGTTCTGCAACTGTACCGTTCACTTGAATAGTTGGAGCCATTATTTTAATGTTTACGACTTATTAAAATTCATTGCACTCACGATTTTATGGAAAGGGACATTGTAATAGATTAAAAAAAATTTATACAAATTCGACAGGCGAAACAGGTAGAAATCAAAAGCATAAAGTAGATATAGAGTTTACGCTGATGGGAATTGTAGTTTATTTGGCGCGATCTGTCAGCAGAGGAGTGGAACTAACTAACTCGGTATTTTGATAGGATGTTATTTTTATTTCCAGCCGTACATTTCGGTAATTCGCCGTAATTCCGGTTAAGTAGAAAAACGGATTGACGTAAAATGATCCTAATTTAAATAACCACTTTATTTAAGCAAAATAGAAATCAAAATAGAAAAATTAAATTCTAGACGCTTTTAACCTAAATGACCCCAAAAGGATAGGAGGATTCGAAGTGTTGTCAATCAGTTAGGGTCTATCTTGATTTTCTCCGATCAAATCCTGACTTCAACCCCTTGAATGAATGAATGAATCCTGATGACGCTGATCATCCATCCCTGGTTATTCTCCCCCTTACTAACCACTAAATGACAACCAAGTTTAAAATAATTGTCAAAAAACTTTCATTGTTATCAAATATGTGACTATGTGAAACGATGTACAAAAAGTATACTAAAATCTAAAAGTTTTTATTGAAATTAAAGTGCTGTTTCTTTCGTTAATAGAAGGGGCGACCGTAATTTAACGGTCCCAAACAAAAACTTCAAGATGACATTAATGGACTTTTTCGGAAATGCATTTCTTGCATTTGGACCCCCATTAGCAATGTTTACATTTACGATTGCTATAGAACCGATTAGAATCATTATATTAATAGCTAGTTCATTTTTTTGGTTATCATCATTACTAGTGTCTTCGGTAGTTTGGTTTGCAATTGTTCCATTAAGGCCTTATCTGTCCATTGGAATTGTATACTCCGTCATTTTTCAGGAAGTATTCAGGTAATGATTCATAAATATTTACAGTTCTTTTCCTTTTTAGTAAAAATTAAAAAAATCGAAAGGTGGTTAAGAATCTATAACTAGCATCAAAACGCTTGTATTAATTTTTAGGTACCTTCTTTATATGCTCCTTCGTAAAGCAGAGAAGGGTTTGGAAAAAGTGACAACAGCTCATGTTGCCGACAGTAGACATGTGTTTGCCTACGTTTGTGGACTTGGATTTGGTTTGATGAGCGGTGCATTTGCTCTGGTTAATGTTTTGGCAGACGCTGCGGGTCCTGCTACAATGGGACTTCGTCGTGGGAATGAATTCTTTTTCATGGTATCATCATCAACAACACTATCCTTCATCCTATTGCACACATTTTGGGGAGTTATTTTCTTCTCTGCTCTTGATAATAAAAATTGGGGACAAATTGCTTGGGTGATTTGTTCACATTTATTCGTTTCCGGAATGACACTTCTCAATGGAATAGGATATCAGGCAATTAGTATCACATCAGCTTATCTTATTCTTTTGATAACCATGATAATTGCCTTTAGAGTCGCAGGTGGTAAGAAACAAAATTTAATCAATTGCTTCATTAAAAAGTGAAAAGTGGCGTAAGAAAGAAAATTAAGAACACTACGAGCGTTGATTGTATTTCAAGCTCTTTTTCCAATACGAGATTCCGAACCATATTTTAGATAAATAAAACTAGTTAAGTTTATTATATTCAGTTTCTAATTATGTTAAAACACGGAGCAAGTTTACTCTCAATTCTTTTTAATTGACATCTTTTAAAAATAAGAAAGAAAAAGAAAACAAATCTATGACAAAAATACTTAATTAGATAGTAATTTAGTATCTAAAATAACGAAAAGACTTTTTTTTATAACACAAGAGGATGAATCTTGTTTTTTAGGAAATTTAGAAAAATGCGAACTTGTGATCTTGTGTCATATCTAATTACACGAATACACTTTTTCTTTCAACAATCGCATTCTTTTTTCGAAACTACATTTTGAATTATAAAAATTAATTTATTTTACAATTTAGTTAAATTGTTTTCAAATATTGCTGATGATACTTGTTTTCGGGAAATGATTTTTCTTTGTTATTTTTCATATGTATGTGAAATTATATTTCTTGCATTGCAATTTTTTGAGATTTTAGCTCAATTTAATTTTAGATGTATGTAAAAAAAACTATCGTAAGAATCAAAAGTCTACATCAAGTTTAAAATGTACAGCAAAAAAAATATTATGTACTGTGGTTGTAACTAAGAATTAAAGATTTTTTAAGGTATCTCATTCTTTTATTTTTGTGAACCTAGAATATTCCGCATTTGAAAGAAATGGACAAACTATAAAAAAAAGGAATTAAAAAAAATTTATAAATCCTGTAGAGATTACAAGGTTTCATAAGGAAAATAACTTAAGGTATCAATTACATTTCCAAGGCTCGAACTGACTTTTACGGACTTGAAGACCTAGTTCGAGCCCTGAATTTCGTAACATTTGAATTACTTAACTAGAATTCATTTTTATTGTAAAAGAAACAAAAAAACTTGACTAATCAAAATCACCTTAAATCTTATCACCCTGTTTAAATACAAATATCCATTTTTCGGAGGGAGGGGAGAATTTTATTAAGAGCTTGTCAATGACGCCATGAGAAGTTCCATTTTGTTTAAAAAATTCTTCCCCTCCATTTTATCCCATCTGACTTCCTTAAAGGAACCCCCAAGATTCTCCCACTTTCTCTCACGCACTAATTGACCGGGGAAAAAGTCTTTACGCGGCGAATGCGCTATCGCCACTTGAACGCCCGTTTGCGGTTCACATCTCACTGCAATCATTCTATCGCCAATTGGCGATGCCAATATACAACTACTTGCATTACCCAAAGGTTCAACGGCGCCAAGACCAAGATGTGCACTATTCGAAAGAAATTGCCATCCCATACATTTCGCCAACGATTGCACGGCAATTATTTGATGCTGATAAATTTGACAGAATATTAAATCACGTAATTCCTGTGGTTCATAACTCATGTGCATCACTCGACCATCGCGACAAACACATTTCAATGATTTCTCACCGACGTGAACAATCAGTGATGTTCGATACATTGAATCGTAGCCGTGTGTTAGAATATTTATCTTAACGCAAGATTGCGTTGGGGAATTTAATGCGTTCCAGTGGGATACAATTAGTGGATCTTTCACTTCTTTTGCTATTGTATCTAAAACATATTCAGTTCTTAGTCGCATGAAAAAATGTTGCGCCTGTTGTATTATTTGTTCCAAGAGGGTTTGACTTTTTGTCATTTCAAGAAGTTCGTGACGATCGGCTGCCGTTGGACCGGCGAGGCATCTTCGTTTACTGGGACCAAGTGGTCCTGATGAGGGATGAGGGAAAGGATGATGTGTATTTTTATGATGCACTTCGCGTAATAATTGATGTAACGAATGCTCGAGTACGTGATCGTGATCTGTTTTGTGGGGTGGTGCTGCTTGCTTTTTATCATTACCGGTACTGTGACAAAGACCAATTATCAATTGTATCCCCGGCAGCACCTGAAGGAAGTAAATTTGTAATATTTTCTCATCTCTAATAGATTTACTCTAACAGACTCACTTTCGATCGAATTTACTTTCGACTTTCAGAAAAGTTCAATCGCCATTTGCCAAAATGTTTAGCGTACTTTATTCTAAACCCCAGTTGATCCGTTTTTTAATTAGTTAAAGTTAACAAAGAATTGGATCAATTGGGGCTAAAAAAGCAATTTAAGAGTCTAACTTTCAAAGTTGCATGCAGATTTAAAACTATAATTTAAATTAATTAATTCATACCGTCGCCATTATTTGGTTTCCGACAACCATGTGAGGAATAGGAGCTCGCAGATGGACAGCTTCCCTCGCCAATTGACTGAACAATTCTTTACAGAATAGAACATTCTGCGCTGCTTCTAATTTTTGCTGCCAATGTATATCTGCATTCGAACTGGTTGTATTACTGTTCAGGAGATTGATATTCGCGCTGCATAAATCTTCCTGATCTGCAAAAGAAGGAACAAGATTTATTAGGTCCTACAATACAGATTAATTACTTCAAACTATAAATTAATTTTTTTGTAACAAAAAACATGAAGATACCTTTCTGACATAAGACTTCAATGTACGCGACACCTTGAAGTTCACTGGGAATTGTGACTCGTAATGCAGAGGGTTTACTGCTCGATGGTACCGCAGGAGTTACGGCAGCCGGATTTGGTGAAGACGGCGGACTGCCGCTATTTTCATCCTCCTCCTCTGCCTTTGTGACTTCAAACATTCCCGTTTGGGTGTACTTTGATCCAGCTGTTTTATTAAAAAGAAAATTTTAATTTTGAATCAATTTTGAATTCAATTGAACGTGAATGTAAAATGCAAGATGACAAATGAAACGTTTGGAAAAAACATTAGAACATTAAATATTCAAGGGATTTGAAAACTAAACTTACCAGTACGATAACTCAGATCTCCAATAATAGAATTGGAGACTTTTTTGAGTCGCCAATTCTGACGGAGTCTCAGTAATTCGATATGAAAATTGGGAGTGGTGCGATTTCTGGCTAATTCGTTTTGACAATTTTTCAATCTCTCTGCACCTTGCATGAGAACTTGTGCTGCACCCGAAAGAGCCTTTTTTCGTCCGTAAACTTGAACCATTTGTTTAACTTCCACTGCTTCTTGAGGTACAGGATCGAGGACCATGTACCTTTTTTCCCTCGCCACTGAGAGAACATCCGCAAGTACACAAACCTCTGTCAAAGAGTTTCTGTTCCAGAAAAAAAAAACAATAAGAAAAGTTGTCAAACAATGTTTTTTAAAATTGTACAACTTTAATATCAAAATTTTGACTATTTACCACAATTTTTGAACTAAATTAAATTATTTTCTAAAAATAAAAGAATAAGAAACCTTAGACTAGTTCTAACTGTATCCCAAGGCCATAATGATTGAGCAGTTGTATCTTTTGCTTCCTCATCCTTGTTTCCACTGTCCGCTGGTTCCTTCTTAACATCTTCTCCATTTGTTTTGCTAAAATCGATCTTTTGGGCGATTTTAGTCAAATTTTCCGATAATGTCAATGGACTGAAAACAAGATTTCATGAAATTTTCTTCCTACTACAATTTTATCTATAGATTCTGTTAAATGTATAAAACTTTTAGGCTACTGAGACTAGTTAATTAGTTTAGCTAGTTAATTACTCTTATTTACAAAACAAAGACTCACCCAGTTCTGTTCAATAAATCATCAATAAAAAAGTAAACAAAAAGTAAAAATCAACAAAAAATGTATAAGCATTGCCACAGCAAATTTTTAGGTTATGTTGTCAAAAATTCGAAATAATAAAATTAAAACTAAACTACTTGGAATGTAACTAAACAAATTAGTTTACTATAAAATAAGTAATAAAACACTTACGCTTGATAAATTTCTTGACCATCGTAAGTTATTTCCTGAATCAAATTCTCAATCGGTGCTTCGACCGAAACATTTACAGAATACGCCATTATTGCTGTTGAAAAAAAATTTTATTTCAATTCACTATCACATTATTTCCGCTATTATATTTATAACTATTTTTAAAGCTATTTTATTTGATTTTTGAATTATTTTTGGGCTAAAAAGGAACAATTATTCTGTCAACGTCAACAATCAACACACAACAGTTGACATCCTCTTTCCTCCATCATAAAACAAAACTATCGATATCGAAATCGAAAATAATCGAAAAGAAATCTTCTCGAAATCCTCGAAATTTTGACATAACCTAAAAATGTAAACGATCACGATTTTCAAGGTGTATTTTCGGCATTTTCGGTATTTTACAGTTTTGGATTTTCAAATGGTTTAAAAGGTGAAAAACATAAAAAAAAAGTTGATAAATAACAACAACGAATATTTATAGCAAAAAAATACAAAGTTTTATTGCCTTCCAAAAATTCAATTATAACAAATTCAATATTTAGAATTTTAAATAATTCCTTTTTATTTGCATTGATTATTTACTGACTAGTTGTACGAATTTTTTTTATTTGTTATCAAATAAATAATGTATATTATAATTGTTTTGAATATCTTAATGGTGTGTAATTTAAAAATACATACAAGAGAGAAATGTTAATGGGAGATTCAAATCTTCCATAAAATTATTTTTATAGTAATTTTTAGAGAGGAAATCAATGGTTAGAAAATATTCCCACACTTTTTTTTATTTTTCTCAAAAATTTATAGATTTTAAAATTCATCCGTAATGTTGTAGAAAATATGTTTTTGTATTCACAAAAATATTGCCTGCGAAATGAAAAATAGATTTTTATTATTTTTGAAGCATTTTTTTGAAAAAAAAAAATTTTTTTTTACAAAAAAAAATGCTTCAAAAAATTATAAGAATCAATTATTTTTCATTTGGCAATTTTTTCGTAGATACAAAAACAATATACAAAATTACGGATGGATTTTAAAATCTATCAATTTTTAAGAAAAATAAAAATTCAAAATGAGTAAGAATATTTCTAGATACAATATTTTTTTTTAATTAATATATTATGACTGGACGATTTTTTAATTGAAAAGATCTGAAATATCGTAGATCCATTTTTGTATTTTCCTTTATAAATCTAGAAGCGTTTTTAGTTTGGCTTTCTTAAAATTTTTTTTATAATATATTTTTTAGAACATTCATTATAACACTGTGTTTGTATATAATCACAGATAAAATTTCTACTCTATATATATTTATATAATATATTTTACTTTCATTTATAGATAAAAAATATCAAAAAACGTAGCTACCTAAGTATTTAAGGAATACTGTATACGACATAAAAATGCAACTTTCTTAATATAAATTTATGTCTTTTGCAATATTATTTTAGTATTTTGCTGTATTGATAGCATTTTCTTTTGATAGAGTAGAGCTTCTTTCGTTTTTATTCCGAAAAAAATTAATGAAATAAAAAAAATTCATTTTTCAAAAAAAAATTAAGAAATATTTTTTAATTAACGGTACATTCGAAATTTTTGTTCAAAAAAAAGTAAAAGTTTGAAAAAGATTTTTATTGTGTAGAAAACAGATATAAAGTTAAAGCTCTAAATTTTTAGATAAGACTCAACAAAATAAACTAGTGAGAATTTTTTGTCCCCTCGAATTTTGTCAATAGAACAAAATGCGATGCTTTTTTTTGTACAAATATAACGTAATAATAAGAAAATAAAAAAACGATATAAATTAGAATTTATAACGAAATTCTTTCTATCTACTCAATTTTTCTTTGAGCCACTCTTCGGTAAGCTCCTCTAATTCACGTACTTCAAATACTTTTGTCAATTCGGCTTCACGTTGCAATACGAGTTTCATTCCTGCATAAAGAACTTGCAATTCCATTTGAATATCTCTCGGTGTATAAAAAATAAAACACATTGGATATGAAACACGACCGTCGGAGTGTTCCATTTTGTAACTGTAGACAATGTAACGTGGCTGATGAGCAGGTATCAGGTCCTGAACCTCCTCCATTTGAATGTCCTTAAAAAAAATTGAAATTGTATTTTTGGTTTTAATTTCAATTTCAATTCGAATTTCAATTTCAATTCAAATTTAAATTTTAATTTCGAATTGAATTTCAAATTTTAATCTTTAAAGTGACCTAAAAAGCACTTGTCTTAAAATTTTTAATCACCTCTACAAATTCATCGATGCAGACCTTTTGCTTCTCTTTGTCAACTTTTACTGAAACAATGAAAAAAGAAAATTTACAATTCTAGAAAAAAAAGTCAAATTTTCAAAAATTAGTTACTATCTGAATTCGGACTTACGAATAAGGGCAGCATTAGTCTGACTTTTACGGAAACGAAATTTTTTAAGAGCGTCTTTAACATCATCCTCAATGTCGCATATTTTGTTGGAAGACTAAAAACAAAAAAGTATTTGTTTAAAAAAAACAATTAATTATAATTTATTATCTTCATTCAATTACTCTAATTATAATGCATCATAATCCCAGTGGATAAAAATCAAAAAGATTACATCTTATTTACTATTTACTTGTTTACATCCCAAGAAGGAAATTGTCAATAATCAACAAATGGAGGAAATAGTATTGTTCAGACAAAATAAACTATACAAAAATGTACCGTTATGATACAAAAAAGAAAGAATTGAATATCAAAAGTTTTGGATATTAAAAAATTTAACAGAACTTACCATTTTTATAACAAAGTTGACAACAAAATTCACTGGCAGTTTTACAAAGTATTTTACAAAATTTGTTAAATAACAAAAGTTGCGCACACACACACAACTGTTTTTCTCGTTTCTCTTGACGAAAATTTACCAACAATCATGAAAATAATTTTCCATAGAGGGAAAACCAATGTGAAAACTTCTATTACCCGTGAACCCTCTTTCACATGACAAGAATTCAGAAAATTGTCTTTAATCTTTAAACTCTAATTTATAATATTTATATTCGTTAAAAAATACTTTATAGTGTTAATAACAATTAAAAAATGTTGATTGTTCTCAAAACGAATTATTATTAGCAAAAAAAATAAATGAAAGTGCAAATAGTAAATGACAATATCCGTTTTCCTATCTATATAAAAAATTCATGGTTCAAGATATTCAATCAAGTGTATGATGTGGAATGTAATTTAATATGTGAAAAGAGCAGAAAAATTACCATCTGTTTTTTTGTTGCAAGAAATGTTTTATTATTTATGTCATGAATGTACAATACTTTGAAAATTATGAAACTTTAAGTGATTTCCTTGATGTTAAATTGTGATTAAACACAAAAACAGTTTAGGTAAAGATAAAAGATGTTAACGGCCGCAGCAAATTCAATGTCGAATAATGGAGGGTCTTATAGTATCGATAGACCTTCCAGTGCTGGAGAACCTGAATTGGGCACTGATCCTGCATCTGGAGGCTTTTTCCACTCCGATTACAAAAAGTACAAGCAAATAATTAATACAAAATTCATTACTTTTTTTGAAATTAACTTTTCATTTTGAGGTTAGATTCCCGCCTTTCTTGTTATGCGGCTTAAATCATAAATCTCTCGTATAGTTTTTAATCGAATCGTATCACTTAATCATTTATCTGAATTCATTGTTATTAATTTTCTCTTATTTTGGTTATTTTTATGCTGCTTGCATAGAATCATTTTCTTGAATTAAAATATTTGGGCAATTGTAATTTTTAGTTAGAACGGTATTAAAGATTTTACTGCTACTATTAGTTTGCACGTTGTTGAGATTTTATAGAGAATAAAATATTTTTATTTTCAGACACGATGACTTGAAACAAATGCTTGACAGTAACAAGGATGGATTAAAATTGGAAGCCATGAAGCGAATAATTGGGGTAAGTATAAAGTAATTGATTGTTGTTCTCTTATTGATTATCTCAAAGGCTACAGATTCTAAACACTAAACCAATATTTAGATGGTGGCGAAAGGAAGAGACGCCTCAGATCTATTTCCAGCAGTTGTGAAAAATGTCGTATCGAAAAATATCGAAGTAAAAAAATTGGTGTACGTCTATTTGGTACGTTATGCTGAGGATCAACAGGATTTGGCACTCCTGTCAATTTCGACATTTCAAAGAGCTCTAAAGGATCCTAATCAGCTGATAAGAGCAAGTGCCCTACGTGTTCTTTCGAGTATTAGAGTTGCAATGATAGTTCCAATAGTGATGCTTGCAATAAAGGATTCAGCAAGTGATATGTCGCCGTATGTTCGTAAGACAGCTGCTCACGCAATTCCAAAACTATATTCCCTGGATGCTGAGCAAAAGGATGAATTAATTTGTGTGCTAGAGAAATTATTGTCCGATAAAACAACGCTTGTTGTTGGTTCAGCGGTAATGGCATTCGAGGAAGTTTGTCCGGAAAGAATTGATTTGATTCACAAGAATTATCGAAAGTTGTGCAATTTACTGGTGGATGTCGATGAATGGGGACAGATTGTCATTGTTAATATGTTGACAAGATACGCGAGGACTCAATTTGTAAATCCGAATATAAACGTATGTTTTTTTTTCTTTATTCCTATTCTTAAATAGGATGATAGTATACTTAAAAGATTTTATGTTCACAGGAAATTGAAGAGGAGGACGAACGTTCTTTTTACGAATCCGACAGTGATTCCTCAAGTTTAAAGAAACCCAAATTTACTCTGGATATTGATCATCGTTTATTATTGAGAAATACGAAACCCCTATTGCAAAGTAGAAATGCATCGGTTGTTATGTCAGTAGCTCAGTTGTATCATCATGCGGCACCGAGGAGTGAAGTTATTATAGCAGCAAAAGCACTGATAAGATTACTTCGCAGTCATCGAGAAGTGCAGAGTGTTGTTCTTCACTGCATCGCTAGTATATCGATAACTCGCAAGGTAAATCAGTAATCCTACTATAAATTCTATCAAACTTTCTGTATACACTATTCTCCTTCTTTCAGGGAATGTTTGAACCTTTTCTAAAGTCATTTTTCGTTCGAACGTCTGACCCGACACACATCAAATTATTGAAATTGGATATTCTGACTAATTTAGCCACCGAAATGAGTATTGGCGTTATTTTGAGGGAATTTCAAACCTATATTTCAAGTAGTGATAAGGAATTTGTTGGTGCTAGCATTCAGGCAATTGGTAGATGTGCAAGTAATATTAAAGGAGTCACAGACACTTGTCTCAACGGACTTGTTTCCTTGCTCAGTAACAGAGATGGTAAATATTTTCCTCGAAAAATTCTCTGTTTCTAAAAAGTATCGTAAGTTCAAAAATAATTTTTTCAGAGGCCGTTGTAGCTGAAAGTGTGGTAGTGATTAAAAAACTCCTCCAAACGCAACCGAATGAGCATAAAGAAATTATTGCCCACATGGCGAAATTAATGGACTTCATCACTGTTCCTCAGGCTCGTGCCTCTATTTTATGGTTACTTGGAGAATATTCTGATCGAGTGCCAAAAATTGCTCCCGATGTTCTTAGAAAAATGGCTAAGACCTTTATTAACGAGCAGGACATTGTCAAGTTACAGACCTTGAATCTAGCTGTAAAATTGTATTTAAATAATCCAAGTCAGACGAAGACATTCTGCCAATACGTCTTCCAATTGGCAAAGTATGATCAGAACTATGATATTCGAGACAGAGCTCGTTTCCTTCGTTTCTTTATATTCGAGGATGAGGAGGACGGTCAACCGAAACGACAACTACAAGAATTGGCTCAAAAAATATTTTTAGCTACAAAACCAGCACCAACACTTACGTCCAGATTTAAGGAATCACAATTTCAGTTGGGGACACTTTCGCATTATTTAGATATGCCTTGTTCTGGTTATCATTCATTGCCACCGTTTCCCGATGTAGCACCCGATCCATCAGTTCGTGACGTTGCCGAACCATTACCACAAGATATTCTACCACTTGGGAAAAAGGAGAGAAAAGACAAAAAGAAGGAGGACTTTTATTGTGAGAGCACACCGGATGAAGGTGAGTTTGCAGCATTTTTAATATAATCCAAACTTGTCCAGATTCAAATTCCCGTATAGGGTCCTCAAAGAATAACGGTTTCTGTCAGGAACCGTTATTCTTTAAGGACCCTATACGGGAATTTGAATCTGGGTGGTATTAACCTTTCTGCTAATATTTAGAGTCCGAAGGAGAAAGTTCCGGATCATCGGGCGAAACATCGGATGACGAAACTGATTCCAATGAATATTCGTCAATTTCCGATAAATCTGACGACGAGCAGGAGAAAAAGAAGAGTAGAAAGAACGCCGAAGAGTCGAGTAGCGATAGCGAAAGTGATGACGATTCAGAAGAAGAGTCATCAGACGAGGAATCAGAGGAGAGTTCAGAAGAGAGTGTGACTGTGGAAAAGACTGTAGTGAAGGAAAAACCAGTGAAAGTTGAGAGTAAAGAGAAGCCTAAGAGTAATCTAGACCTGCTTTTAGATTTGGATGATGGTAAATAAAATTTAATCTCTAAAATCTAAATCCTAAACAGATTCTTCTAATAGATTCTTCTTCCACAGTGATACCAATGACACCAATAATGACACCAAGTTTAGGGGGTTTTTTAACGCCAATCAATCCAATGGATACAAATGAAATTCGCGAAGTCTCTGCTTCATACATTCCAATGAAAAAAATTGAGGTTTTGAATAAAATTAATGGCCATGGACTAAAACTCGACTATCGATTTACAAGATCACAACATTTAGTCAGTTCAGTTATGGCTAGTATTGAATTTACATTCACTAATGAAAGTAAAGATCCAATTACCAACATACATATTGGAAACAAGGTAAACTCCTCAAGACTTCTTTTCTTATTATCAAATATCAACATTAGAAAATAAATTATTTTTCCAATTTCCAGAAATTATCATCAGGAATGATAGTCCATGATTTTACACCAATTACTTTGATTCAAGGAAATTCCAATTCCCTCACAACTGTGGGTATAAATTTTAACGATTCGACACAACCGGCCACTTTTAATATTGACTTTATGAAGAACGATGAAATTCTCTCTTGTCCAATTAATATAAAAGCACCAATTGGAGAAATTTTACGATCAGTTCTATTGCCAGAAAGTGTATTTATTACTGAAAAGGAGAAATTAAAGGGAATGAATGAACACATGACGAAAGTTAATTTTACCGGAAATCGTAAAACATTATCGCAGAAGATATTTGAAGCAGCAAATTTGGCTGTTGTGTCCAGTGAAGACAATATTATTAGGTAATATTTTTCACTTTTAGGACAACGATTTTTAGCTGCTAAACATTGCGACCAGTTTCTTGATAGGAGGACCTATTTTTCAAAGAAAAATTCAATTTTAAATTGTAATCATTTTTGCAGGTATGCAGCTCACACTCTAACTTCCAAATCTCTAGTTTTGGTGACAATAAAAATTATAAACGACGATTCATTGGAAATTTGTGTGAATTGTGAAAAAATGGTAATTGGCTCGATGCTGTTGAATGAGCTTAAAAACAATTTAAGGTAAAAAAAGAAAGGAAAGCAAATAATAAAAGAAGAAAAAATATATTGACTGCAACATATTATACTATTATTATTATTATTAATCAAGTTATAATAGAGTATATATTTATTATATTTGGAAAATTATGTTCCATTCCTGTGAGATTAAATAAATACAAACATTTTTATACTCGTGTTATGTTAATTTTAGTTTAAACTTAAAAATGAACCTAAAACTATTCCTAAAGAGCGAACGAAATGCATGAGACAGAAAAGGACAGAAATATATCCCTGTCTTTTTCTAACGATGTTTGCGAAGCAGTTGTGTACTGACCTTAAGTCAAAATCGTGTATTGCGCATGCGTCTCTACCCCTAATTTTTATAATTTTCAATTACTTAAAAAAACCAATATTTCTTTACTTAAAAAACGTATTTTTTAATCAAAATATTTTTGATTTAGTTATATTGCCGAAAAACTTGTTTTAAACAGAAAATGAAAAGGTTAAAAAAAGAGAATTCTAATTCTATCTCAAAGCGCAGCAGCAAAATAAACACATTCCACGCATGCGCAAGATAAGTTTTAAGATGTCATAATTCGGAAAATATTTTGTTGTTGGGAGTTCAAAAATTCATATATACTCAAAAAATGGTTTTTAACATAGCCGCCTTTTCATATATTGTCGCATTAATTTGTGACGCTGTTTTAATATTTTTTTCAATATTACACGTGAGTATTGTGACTTTTTTTTGGTTAATTTTTAAATTCTACTCATTAGTATACAAGGGTTAACTTTTTCTCTCTCAATTTTATAGAAAATAACAAAGCGCAATGCAAACAAAATAATACCTAACCTACAAAACAATGACTTGATGTTTCTTAGGTACAAAAGTTATAAATGATAAAATCAAGTGCGTTTCATTTAATATATAAATTAGGTATTAATTTTCTTTTTGTTTTAACTGACAAATATTACACAAAAAAAATTGATTTCTTTGTAGAAATCTATATATAGTATAAATGAATTTTGTATTATTTTTTCTAGACTACTAAAAAATATTCTGATTATAATTTAAATTTGTTTATGTAGTTTTTTTTTTTTATTTTTCTCGCTATTGAATTTTTGTTTCGAATGAGATTTATGTTATGAATTGAGAAAATGAAGGAGGTTTATATTCTTTAATGTCATTTCAGATAATTGCTTTTGATGAGTTGAAAACAGAATACAAGGATCCAATAGAGCAATGTAATAGTCTGAATCCGGTGAGTTTGTTAATCGAAATATTTATTTGTAGTGCTCTACGAGAAGAGAGAAAAATGTCAGGTTATGTTTATTTTTTCAATTTCAAGTAAAAATCCAAAATAGATTTTTGGGATTCGTTGTATAAAATAATTAATGGAATCGTTAACTGGTACGAACTTTTATCACTTATTAATTTCTCTGTACCAATATTAGACCATAAAGAAATGTATCTTTGTTAAAATTGAAACATCGTAGAACAAAAACGACTGAATTTTAATTTTTAAGTAGATCCGAAATTATTTTCCATTTAGATGATTAAAAATAAAGATTTTATCAAAGGATTCAAGGTAAGAGTGCCAGTAAAAAATAATTTAACATTATCTAGCCCTAAGATTCCTATTCTCGTGGGGCATCACAATTCGTAATTTCTCTCAGCTTTTTAAATATTGATAATAATAAATATTAAAAATTTTTGTTTTCAGCTTGTTCTTCCAGAATATGGAATACACGTATTTGTTAACTTTTTGTTCCTCATAAGTAATGAATGGTTGTCATTACTGCTAAATGTTCCTCTGATTGCATATCACATTAATAGGTATCGTAACCGACCTGTTATGTCGAGGCCAGGTCTCTATGATCCTACGAATATTTTAGACGCAACTAGTTTATCAAAGTGCCAACGTGAAGGATGGTTTAAATTAGCCTTCTATTTAATTTCCTTCTTCTACTATTTATACGGGTGAGCTTTTTGAATTAATTATATTATTAATCATTTAATTTAATTTAATAACAATTTCTCTAAAATAATAAATAACAATAATATAAATTATATTATAATCAGAAAATTTTAAGTGACGCGCTCCGAAGAAAGAAGCAAATCATCTTTAAGGTTATATTTGACTCATTTTTCCCTCAATTAAAAGTTTCTGGGCTTACTCTCAATATAAAACACTTATCTTTGTCTTCATTAAATAGAAAATTAATTAATAAAATAACTGAGTTGAGTTTTAAAAGAGTTGATCTTATTTATGAATTTTTATTCGAAAAAAAGTTAAACATAACCTAAAATTCTTAACCTTTCTTCGAGGTCTGTCGAATATTTTATATAATTTCAAGAAAAAATGACTAATAAATATTTATTTCTCTTTTTCAGAATGATCAGCTCTCTTATTCATTAGGATTATTTGAAAACTAATTGTTTTTACCATTTTTACAACAAATCATCATCTCTATCCAGGCGCGAAATAATTAGAGAGAGAAATGCTGCTGACTTGCTTCCTACTTGGATTTTTAAAAACAAAACAATGTTCGTGACTTGCAAAATAATAATACTGCATATTTTATACTCAAGATCAGTTTTCTTTTTGCAATAAAAAAAAAATGCTGTTTGTCATATTGTCAAAAACGGAAAAGTACAAATTGAATATATTTGTCATCAGGTACAGACATTTTTTTTATAATTTTCATTATAAATGTACATTAGTTTTTAAGCAGTGAATTTGTTTTTGCAAAAATTTGTAAAATGTAAATATAGGTAAGATGGAATTTTTAAGTACCTAAATCTCCCCTGACAATCTTTTAGAAAAAAAATGTACAGAAAAAATTAATATCCCTTTTCCTTGATAAATTAATTATTTGCTTTTATTTCGTTCTTTGTAATTTTTTGATAATTTTTCATGATGCAATTTCAAGAAAGGTACCTAAGAATCTAGTGAATAATAGGTTATGTTTGTTTTTTGTAATCAAAATACAGAAAGAGAATCAATTATTACTATACAAATTATTGACGTTTAAGTCTTCATTGTGTCCAAAATAATAAAAAAAACTCTTTTCAAATTTACATAATTAAAAAAAAACTGTTAATTAAGGTAAAAATAACACAAACATAACCTTAAAGTGATTTTTACTTTTCAACATGTAAACTTGTATATCAATCAATTCTTAGGTATTTTCTTCAGAGCTCGTCACATTAATTATTATAATTGTTATTTATTATTATTAATCTTTTATTACTGTTCAAAAATCAAAAATAAAATATTCGAAATTTTTGGTAATTTTCGAGAAAAAAAATTGTCAGGGGAGTGGTAACTAGAGATAAATGTCCAACGTTTATTATATTACATATATAATATTGAAAATCGTTAATATTTATCCATTTTCATCAAACGAAATAAGGTTTGCTTTTATTTTGTGTCTCGAAGAAATAGTTTAGTTGAATTAAATTTACAATATGAACAAAAAGAATGAAAAAAGTAAAATGAAAATTGTTTTAAATTTAAATTTTACTTTTTTATTTCATATTTTTGCTATTGACGTGCTCTTCTAAAAAATATAAGGAAACGAATTTTAGGTTATGTTTGTATTCGAATTATTTTCATTATAAATTTCCTTTTAATTATCTAAATTCGAAGACGGTTTTTAACGACTATTTTGAATGTAAAGAATGAAAAATCAAATTTTTAATAACAATAACTCCTTCTCTTTCTGTACTTTTTACTTTCGAAAATTGTAAACATAACCTAAAATTCCAGCTCCTTAAATCGCGCGTAAATAGAAAATTTTCCAAACTCTGTTTACTTTCCAGTTTTCCAAGTACATAACTTATAATTCTGTTAAAAATAATACTAATTTTTTAATAAAAAATAAAATACCACCATATTATTAATAGATATAATTATATAAATATATAATTAAGAAAGAAGTGCATCGTTACCCAAATAATTTAATTTACAAAAATCAAAGGTACATTTAAAATATTTACAATATATTTTACAAGCGAAATTATATTTCCGAGACTGACTGCTTTTAAGAATATTAAATATTTAAAAGAACAAATTTTTCCAGAAATATTTTTTTCTACTTTGGAGAAAAATATTTTTCATAAATAGATATTTTTACGAATTTTCGTTTCTCTTTGGGAAACGAAATTGTAGTGAATGTAAAAACAATAAATGGCTTATAATTTACAATAAATGTACCAATTTACAAAAAAAAATTTACAGAATTTATTATATTCGTTTATTTCTTAAAGAACGAGTTAAAACAACGAATTGGTTAAAAAAGGTTAAAATCAGTTGAAATTATAGTAAAAAATTGTTTTTGACAGTTAAAAACTAAAATTGGTTTAGAATTACCTTTTTACGAGGTTCGGAATTTTTAGGTTAATATTTTGATTTATTTCTTCTGCACTTGTATTGAAAAAAACAAAAAATGATTTATTTTTCGCTATAATTCGTAGAAATTATATTATTATTGAAAAAACAATTCACACGCGGACGGTTGTTTTCCGCGAAAAAAGACAATAATCACTTTGTCATTGTTGGGGGAAAAATACAACAATATTTGTAACGTTCGGAATAAAAACTTACTTTCGATAATTATCCGTTGATTCGGAAATGAACTGCAGTTAATTATCTTTTATTTACTTGTTTACGATACATTTAATTACGATAATATTGCACATCGGTTTTTAACAATAATTCTGAACTATATAAACACTGGTGACGGGAAATAAAAATTTTTCAACCGTTTTACAGTGAAATTTTCCACTTTCGTCACCAGCGCTCTATGTAAGTGGTCATTTTTTGAAACACTCGATTCCTTACCTTCCAAGCCCTGATTTCTCGTATGAGGCGAGAGTGGGGGAGAAGCCCTCTGATTGGTTGGGAAATATTACCGGTAAGTTACCAGCCAATCGCGTGGCGTTATTTTGGCGCTTGAACCCCCCTTCGTTGCACGAAGTGCGCCACTGCGCATTTGCAATCTGCAGCTCAAGGAGGAAAGACGCGCAGGTTCTAACGGAAAGAAGAAGCACCAACCGTCATTTTCTGCAGTGAAAATATTGTTGTTAAAAGTTTAATTTGATTGACATTTTACATTTCTTTGATTGCTGTTTCTCTTGTTCAATGATGATCTACATGAAAGTGAGTAATTTTTATCTAATTAACAATTGAATTCTCCTCTGTTTTATTGTATGTATTGAATTCACATTCGGAAATTCCAAGTGTAAATTTTTTTCGCATTTTTCCAAATTCAGGTGTTTTTTTCTCGCGTGGTAAGTTTTGGTTATGTCGATAATGTTTCGACAATTAAAAAGTGCGCAAACAATACATTTGTTTCTTTTTTCGATTTCGGGTGTTTTTTCAGAACAATTGACTTGGGAATTTTTTCCCGTCATACATAAAATTTCGTCATGTATCGGGGATTGAATAATTTTCGAGAACTTTGATGAATAATATTTGTGTTTTTTTTGTCTTTTTTTTCTATTTCAGGTATTTGTTTCGTGTAATAATTGACTCGAGTATTAGTGTCGTGTTACAATTTTTGCGGTTATGTTGGTCATATGTTGACAAATGACAATTGAAAAGTAAATGAAAAATATTTTTGTCTTTTTTTCCGATTTCAGGTATTTTTTTCCAAATAAATTAACTCGCGTGATAATTTTTGGTTATGTCGGTCATTTGTTGACAATTAAAAAGTAAACGACAATATATACAACAACAATATTTGTGCTTTTCTCGGAACAATTTAACTCGTGTGATAGTTTCGCCTCACATTAAAAATTTTTTCATTTGTTGACAATTAAAAAGTTTGAGAATAAAACATTGTTGACGTAATAATATTTGTCGGTCAAAATAAATTCGGTATTCTCTGAATTTCTTTAATGTTTGACGGTGATTTTTTTAATTATTAAAATTGTTTGCTTATGAAATATAATAAATTGATTATATTTTCGTTGCATGATTAAAGAACACACGGCTTTGAATATTTTTGCTTTGTTATAATATATTTTATTATATTCAATTGTTTCCTAAATACGTTTATAGCGGAATAAAACATTGTGAATTAAAAAACGAAATAATTTCGAAACTATTTTTTACGGAATAATTTAGATGTAATGAAGACTTTAACATAAATAATTTGTAATAGTAATTAATTCTCTTTTTTTATTTTTCTTCCAAAAATTATAAACATAACCTACATTTTTTGAAGATTTTTCCGAGTGCGTTACAATTCATATTAATTAAATATTAATATTAATTTCATACAATTAAATATTAGTTATTGAATTAATATTTAATTTTTTTTTAAATTAAATAATTATTCAATAATTTCGGTATTTTTTCAAGGACCTTAATTTTTGTCAAATACTGTTTGTTAATTGTGGCCTTAGGTCCACAATTTAATAATAAATATTTAATAAATAATAAATAAATAAAACAAAAAATCGTAAATGAGTTTAATAAAAATAAACTTTTAAAGAGCAACGAACGTAACCATTTTGTAGAAATGGGCGGATATTTTGTGAGAATTTTCATTGGTATACTTTTCGTGACCTGACAACGCCCCAAAAATGTCGAATTATACAGTCCCTGTCTAAAGTTAATGATAGAAATTTCTTATAAATTTTATAATAAAATAATAAATAATAATAAAGCTGAATGGCATAAAAGAGAAGAAAAAATGTTAAATTTTAAGAAATTCGATTTTTCGGATTTTCGATAATTTTAGATTTTTTACAAAAGAGTCGAGACTATTAAGTAAGTAAAGTATTTTCCAAAAGCACAAAAATAATGAAGCTAAATCTCATAAAAAAGAGGAAAAAATGTTGAATTTTAAGAAATTCGGTTTTTTGAATTTTTTCGAATTGTTGATAATTTTAGATTTTTTACCAAAGAGTCGAGACTATTAAATAAGTAAAGTATTTTCCAAAAGCACAAAAATAATGAAGCTTAATCCCATAAAAGAGATGAATAAATGTTGAATTTTAAGAAATTCGGTTTTTTGAATTTTTTCAAATTTTTGATAATTTTAGAGTTTTTACCAAAGAGTCGAGACTATTTAATAAGTAAAGTATTTTCCAAGAGCACAAAAATAATGAAGCTAAATCCCATAAAAGAGATGAATAAATGTTGAATTTTAAGAAATTCGGTTTTTTGAATTTTTTCAAATTTTTGATAATTTTGGATTTTTTACCAAAGAGTCGAGACTATTAAATAAGTAAAGTATTTTCCAAAAGCACAAAAATAATGAAGCTTAATCCCATAAAAGAGATGAATAAATGTTGAATTTTAAGAAATTCGGTTTTTTGAATTTTTTCAAATTTTTGATAATTTTGGATTTTTTACCAAAGAGTCGAGACTATTAAATAAGTAAAGTATTTTCCAAAAGCACAAAAATAATGAAGCTTAATCCCATAAAAGAGATGAATAAATGTTGAATTTTAAGAAATTCGGTTTTTTGAATTTTTTCGAATTTTTGATAATTTTAGATTTTTTACCAAAGAGTCGAGACTATTAAATAAGTAAAGTATTTTACAAAAGCACAAAAATAATGCAGCTAAATACTATCAAAGAAAAGAAAAACTGTTAAATTTAAAAAAAATCGGTTTTTCGAATTTTTGATAAATTTTGATAATTTTAGAATTTTTACCAAAGAGTCGAGACTATTAAATAAGTAAAGTGTTTTTAAAGAGCCCAAAAATATTGAAATTAGATTTAAAATTCCACTGGAATTTCGTAAAAATTTGACCTGGAAATCATGGAAAAGGCATGGAATTTT